AAGGTCAGAAGGCTTTGACCTTTTGCGGTCCCATAATTTATTCCTATGATGAATGTTCATAAATATTGCAGTTTTTATTACTTCTTCCTGGCTAGAGATCAGGGGCTATTTTTCATATCTATCTTTCTGGTACTGAACATGGTACCTGGCACATAACAGGCCCTCAATATATACTTGCATATGCTAGAAAGAGGGGTCCAGATATAGGATACCTTCTCCACACACAAGTATAGGTTGTCATTGCAGAACTCAGTCATTTCTTCAATGAAAAATGATGCAGCTCCTATTGTGTATTAAGTAATGTTCTAAGTGCTGGGGATAAAAACATGAATGGAGAAAAAAACCTTCACTCTTATGTTCTCTACACATAGTATAATGTAAAGAAAAATAAGGCCTCTAAGGGTTGGTAAGGGGAAGAGAGTAGGGGTGATCAGGGGAGACCTCAGGGAGGTGACTAGGAAAGGGGCAGTGTGTGCTCCCTAGCCCCTTTGTACTTACATATTCTGAGTGTCCCCTTATATCTCCTGGCCTGCACTGCAGTAAAACAGGGCCAGAAGTTGGTGCTGGCCAGTGGAGTATGAGCAGAAGGGGTACATTCACTATTGGTCCAAAGCAGTTCAGAGCTTATGAGCCTTTTCCATCCCTTTCTTTCCCCACTTCAGAGAACTTGCAGGCCATGTGTTTAACTGAGAGTGTCACCAGATGGAAAGAACTGGGGTCCCTAAGACCCGAGTGTAGGCGAGTATGCCTCTCCCATCTGTCTTGTATTTATTGCCCTGATGAATGCAGTGGCATTTGAGCAAAGCCCTGAAGAAGGTGCAGGAGTGAGCCATGTGGTTATCTTGGGGAAAAGAGCATTCCAGGCAGAGGGAACAGGAGAACATCTGGACTAGCTTGAGTAACTTTACAGATCAATTTCACTTCTCTGTTTGTCAGATTCCTTTTCAAAAACGGGAAAAAAGTTAGTTTATTTTGTGATTTCACAATCTCAAAGAAGAGGTGACATTATGACCCACCTCCTAGTCTCTGCCCTTTGGTCTGAGAAACCAGATTATTTCCTCCTCCAGGACAGATGTAGCTTACTTGGAAGCAATGTTAACAGCCAGGTCCAGGCCATGCTCTTCATTCCTCCTGTCTTGGGAACTGGCATAGGGCTGGGTATAAGGTCATCATCCAACTGCAGCAGTGCTTGGTGATACTCTCCTTCCAGCTCCTGCCTCCAGAGCAGCCAGCCAGCTTTTGCTGACTCCCACACCCCAAGGGCTATCTTTCCAATTGGTTTAATTTCTCCTAAGACCATTTCACAGAAATTCCATTTTAATTGCTATCTGCTCAACTGCTTTGTCTTACTTAAAAAGACAAGTTGAATACGTCCAAGCATTTTTCTGTCTAGGTCTTACTGTCCTGTGCAAAGTTAACTTTGACTAATGATACAGTTTAAGCCAAAATAAACGGTCTGAACTCTAAATATAGTATAGCATAGTACAGTTTTTGGTGCTCTTTCCAAAGGTTAGAAAATTATAACAATATGCTGTACAGAAAATTCAAGAATATAAGCTGACACCACTTTTACCGATTGTTTTAAAAAAGTTCAATGTTTAGATAATAGCAAATCAAAGTTTCAGAAACTTTATCAATGCTTTATAAACTTAAATAATGTTTAGTTTTCTTAGGATGGGGAAGATCCTCACAGATCTCTAGATTTGCCTTAAATTACTTTCTTTAGTGTTGTCTACACATATATGCATACTATGTATAGCAAACACAAAATGAAGGAAAAACTTATTTTTAGACATTTTATGTATCTATAAAACAAAAAGCAACTTATGAATCAAATACAAGCAAAACTACCAAGTTAAGAAATTGAAATTTATAATCATGGTTTAATACAAGAAATTATATTTGCTGAAGGCAAATTGTCCGTCACAACATGAAAAGCTTATATAAGGATTGCAAAAGCACTGATATCTTGAACCACTTACCTCGTGATGACTCCATTCACCCATTCACCTTTGCTTGTATAGTACACCATAATCTAAGTCGGCTATTACATGGCATCACCACATCAAAGTAGAAATTCCTCTCTACTCTTTTTCCCTGACAAATCTGCAACAATTCATGTAGTGCTATTTGACAATCACAAAATCTAACATAAACTGTGAAACTGCAACAGAATAACTACAAAGATTTGGTAAATTTATAAAGATATTCTACTCCACTAGTAACCCAAAATGGATTAAAATGAGAAATCCTTTCCTCTAGCAAATTGACAAAACTCTTTTAAAAGGTAAAATAACTGCTGGTGGGTATTGTAATGGACACCCATGAGCACTTCTGGTGAGAATGAAAACTGACCTGACTGACCTATCTGGAAAGCAATTTGGCAGAAGCTATTCACAGAATAAAGAGCTTTCAAAGTCTTTGAATTGGTAGTTGTATGTATAGATTTCTATCCTAAGGAAATAATTTTAGAATAAGGGTAAATATTTCTATATAAGGATATGCAGGGCAATGCTCTTTTAATAGTGAAAAAATAAGAACTTCCCTAAATGTCCAAAAAGAAATAAAACATATTATCAACAATTATGTAGCCATTACAAAAAATATTTCTGAATAACTTTAATAACAGTATAGTGTTCAATATACAACATTGAGCAAAAAACATGATATAGAACTAGGTGTAGTTCTTTTATGTCAAAAATGAAAATATGAAACCACAAAAGACCCAGTGAAAATAAGCTAACATGATTAATTTTTTTTTCTGGAATGTGAACAATTTGGGCTTTACATATTTTTTGATTTTTTCCAAGTTATCTATATTAAACATAATATACTTTTATTTTTAATAACAGTTTATTTTTACATCATTTTGTACATTTTTTCCAGCTCAATTGTAATCTTTTTTTTAAATAACAATTTATTTTTACATCATTTTGTACATTTTTTAAAATATATTTTTATTTTTTAAGGAATGTAAACAACTGTACAGGCTAGCATGTCACTGTGGACCATCATAAAGCATTCTTTATTGTGAGTTGGAATTTCCTCCCCACAACATCCATCCACAGGTCCCAGTTTACTTTCTAGATTTACTCAAAGTCTACCAGAGCTCTAGAGACATTTCAAAAAGGTCAGCAAGCACCCCACCTCCCACCCCAGAACCCAGGGCCTCCTACTCTATCAATTCCCTTTCTAACCAACAGGTAACAGTTTTCTGCCAGACAGGGTTTCTGATGTCACTTGCCTCCTCACCCTATTTCAGACAGGCTGCTGTTTAAAAGCTGTCCTCTAAAATTCTGATGTTCAGAACAAAAGGCAGGTCTTTAGTGCTCTAAAATACAGACATGGTCATGACATCCTATGCTTAAGAACCTCCAGAGACTCTTAACCAAAGAGACCCTCTCCTCCCTCCTCCCCTCCCCCCTCCCACTTAGCATTCAGTGACCTCCTGGATTTGGTTCTAGTCTTTCCAGTCTCGTGTGCCATCATACTGCTAACATACTTAAAATTGTAGTTTCAAACTATGGGGTGCCATAGTGAACTATGAAATGAATTTAGAAACCAGCATTAAAAAAAGAAAATGTCTCTTGATGTACAAAGTGTATATGTGGGGTGTGTGTGTATAGCTAAATGTATTCCTGTGAGAGACCATCAAAAATGTTTGAAAGGCACTGCCTGTGTTCCAGCCACATCAGGCCAGCAGTTTGTCCCCGATATTGCTTTAGACTGCCTTTGATCCCAGGGTACCTGCAGCTAGGCCTTTTCCCTGTTTTCTATCTGCTGAGCCACGTCCTCCTGAAGTTCCACAATTTTCCCTCACCAGTGATCCTAAAAGGATGGTCTCATACTTTTCTTGTAGCACTCAAAATAGTCTGCCTCGTATTGTATAGTCTGTACACTGAGTACCTGCGGAGTAGGGCTGGATCTTACCCAACCTGGAGTGCCTTGGGTGGTCCAGACTTACAGGGAAACTGGTCAATGCACATGTGAATGTTTTCTTTATCTCCTTCCAGAAGCATCTTTTGGTGTTCTGTCTTCTATTTTCCTGATTGCAGACCTCAATAGGGAACAGGTCTGTGTCCTGGGGCCAATGTTATCTACAGTTGTGACTGTAAAACACAGTCTGTCCTGAAAGCATTCATCATTCTTTCGGATGAATAAGAGAAATAAACATTCATTTAAAAATCCATTTTAGGCCCTCCCTGGTGGTGCAGCGGGTTAAAGCACTGCACTGAGAATCTAAAGCCGCTTCTGCATGAGTTCGATCCCCGCCTGCCCCGGAGGTGACCACATGGCGTGGCAGACCTCTCCTGACCCGCCTGCTGCTCCCCTCAGCAGTGTACTTCGTTGATCTGCCTGTTCTGTTGCCCACTCTGTCTCTGGTGAAGCCTCTCGCCGCCCCTGAGCCTCTGGCCTGTACCCCAGTTCTGTATGCACAAATAAATAAATCTTAAAAAAAAAATCCATTTTAAAGATAGCTCCTTAATCGGAGAGTGTTTGTCCTCTATCTTGGGTATTAAGGTGTATTTTTGTGGAGCAATGTCTGACAATAAATGAGAAAATAATGATTGTTAGTGTGTGCCTATTGTCGTTACCAGGAAAACAAAAAGCTGGCAAGTCTGCTTGTCTTTTAAGTGATTAAAAAACAGCAACGAACACTGGCTGTAGACTTCCAAAACCTGGGAACTACAGTCATGTACCAGTATCGCCTTTTCTGCGATAGCTGAGGTACTTTCACTTTATGGAAGGCAAGATGAATTAATTGACATAGGCCTGGAAGAGGGTTTCTTTTCTCGTCCAAGTACTGCTCCTAATTGGTCTGCGATCCTTCTCTGGTGTTTCCACTCTCCTGCTCCCCAACAGATTGACAGTAAGTAATCTTTTAGTCCCCAGTGACAGAAGCGTGTGGTAGCCCTTTAAATGGGGGCGTGGCGTAGAGCGCGAACCGCCCCGGGGAGAAAGGAGGGGTGGGGGGGGAAGAAGAAAGCGGAAGCTCGGCTACCAGAGATACTTACTACGCGTGCGTGAGATTAGAGCAGGGGGCGGGGTCACGTGGGCCGGGGGTCCTGGGCTGGAATGGCTGCGAGCTCAGGTAACGAATCTCCCGAGAGCCGGCCAGCGGGGTGGGGACTGTGGAAAGGGGCTGTGCCCCGGGAGGGAGTTGGACGCGCGCCGGCTTCTTGAGCACAGGCCTGTCGCGCGACCGCGGCGCGGCCTCCGGGTGCCTGACAGCTGTGCCAGAAGAGCTGACTAGATCTGGGTCCTTCGGCCGGGCGGGGTTGACTCTGGGGCGGAGGGGCGTGTCCTACATTTGGCCAGGAACTGAGTTTGGCAGTTTCCGCTCGTAGGTTCCTAGTATGTGGGGCTGAGGGACAGGTGCACCGCACCCATGATTGCGAGGCTAGGAGGCGAATGATCACCCCCTAAACTGGATGGAATAGGGGTGCAACCTGCCTTTCGGGCCTGGCAAACGGGAGTGGGCTTCTCTAGCCCCTAGTAGACTGTGGGATGAGGGTGCTCCCCGAGTGGAAGGTTGAAGCTTAAATGGGGTATCCACACTTTAGTATTGATGCACAGCCTGAGTCTGGTTCCTGTTTGTCTTTGCCTGCAAAGTGTGCCCAGAGTGAGGGCAGAAGGGGGACAGGTGGGTTCTAGGCTACTTCTCTGCCCTTTTAGCGTGATACTTGGGGATGGAGGAAGCAGCTGTCGGAAGTGTTGTGTGGGATGAAGTAGGATCAGTTAGGCAGGTTTCATGGCCATGAAATAGCAGGAATTCATGGGATTCCCCAAGCTAGGGACCCTTCCCTAAATAGACACGCCTCCAACATGCCTCTTAATATTTGAATGGCTAGAAAGGCTTGTTTCCCTGCACCTGAGCCCTCCTCAAAAAAAAAAAAAAAGTGAAACAAACATGAATGTTAACTTGTGGCGCCAAGATGTCAGTCCAGATGTCTGTGATTGAGAAATAATTACATGAGAGGTGTGTGTGTTTGAAGTATACCTAATATAAATGGGAATGAAGGATCTGCATATGTTTGTGTAAGATGGGTTTGCTTATGGTTGTGTTTAAGTAGAGAAGAGATACTGAATCTTATGGCAATAGCTGGCCTGTTCTATAGAATGCAGAAGAAAGATAAATGAAAGATAAAAGAAAACATCCTGATTGAACTATTGAACTTCCCAAGTCAGAGATCCAAAGCTCTAAGAGTATGTTGACTGTCTTCTTTATATATCCTTTGTAAACCGGACTAGGATGGACAGATGGGTGTTTTCTGCCTTCTAACATGCTGGCACATCTGGGTGACTTTTTGTGGTTTTCCACTCCTTCATAGATGTTTCAAACATTATGACATGTCATTTGTGTGTGTAAATTAGAAGTGAGGTTTTTTGAAGCTGATGAAGTATGTTTAACTTTTGACCTGTTCAGAGGTTAGGTAGCATTTTCTCTTAAGTCACACCATCAGTTCTTATTGGAATGTATTTGTCGGATCAAAATGTTTTATTCTTAACTGAATTTTAAGTATTTGAAGTAACCTTATTTTATATGGTAACCCTTGTATTAGATCATCCAAATTTAAACACCCCAGAGTAAAAGATCGGTCTTTACAAATACCAGGGAAGGAGGTTGATTGGCTAGATTAGACATAAAAATGTCACGTTCCCACTCTTCTGGCTAGGAACATAAGATATTTGACTGGTAGCACCACGAAATTATATAGTTGGAGTGTAGGAGGGACAGTTTTCCGCAGGAAAGATGGTGAAGGCACTGAGATGTTTTAACTGTAATAAATTGTTTTCCTCTCTGCGTTAAGCACAAACTTCCTTTTGCTCTTTGAGATAATAACAGATCTCTTTTGATTTTAATCCTTGGCACCTAACCAAGAGGAACTGAGGTGACAATTTAATTAACTGGAAGTTAATTAAGATGGGTGGAAGACCGTCATTGACTCAGCCTGCAACTGAGTGGCATTATTTCTTTCTTGAACTTAAAAGATTTCACCTACATCTAGTTAGTGAAAAAGTCAGGAAGTATATTTCAGCCTATACAAGACTGGAGTGCCTCTTAGGAATTCTCTGGAGTTGATGGATCTTTGAAGAGAGATTCTTAAAATAGGGGGCTGATTAGAAACAGAAAAGAAATGATGATTTTTCTCTCATTTGTATTATCACCTCATACATATATTGATATAAAACTGATGACTAACATTAGGGTTTATACATAATCTAGATATTGGCAGACTTAGTTCTTACTCTTTTATATATTGTGATAAAGGATTATAGTTTTCTAGCATGAGACTTCTGTCCCACCATTTGTGGTAGTAGGGATCTGGCACTTTGCACAGGCTGATCTCAGGCACTGTGTCCCCACTTCTCTTTTAACATTTGTTGTTCAGTATGCTTCCTAATTTTTGAGTGATTACTCTTTTCATTTTGACATTTATCAAAAGAAGGGGAAGAAGCAAAGGTTTGGACTTTTTCATAGTGACAGTTAAGAACTGTGTGCTGTATATATCAAAACGTACCTATTCTTGGAAAGAAACTCGAGTCAAATAGTAGTTCATCCGAGTACATAATAATGTTGCATTCAACACTGGGTCTTTTTCTGAGGTCCATGGGTAAGGTGAAGCTTGAATATCCTTGAAAAATACATTGAAAATTGAGTAACCTCAAAACACTCTGGGAAGGAGGCATGTTGGGACTGACATATGCTCTCTCAGGAAATCTAGCATATCCAGCTTTTGCTCATGTTGGAACCGCATGCTGTTACCCTGAGCACAGATGAAATGGATTGCTTGTATATGAGGCATGCAAGAACAGAGATCATACGAAAAGCAGATAGTCATCTCCTACACCATGACATTTTCACCCTGAAGCATACACATATTGCGAGGAATGGTGTGTAGAGTCCCTGGCTCCATGTGAATCATTTTCCCCCCATCTTTCCCTTTGCTATTAGTTGAAGCTCTAGAAATGGAATAGACATATACCACATTTCCAATGTTTTCATCTTAACCCATTAGGCTGTATTAATGCCAAATAAAACATCTGGAATGTGAAATTTTTATTATATATGAACTAAATGATCATTTAAAAAAATCAGGACTAATTATTAAAAATCTCACCTAGATCAAAGATTGGGTCTTGCGAGATAGAAGGATTTTGGGGGTACAATGAATAACTCTGTATTTGAAGCTTTGGAAGCTGGTGATGCAGTGATGCTTGAATGCTTACCTGGGGAGGGATGAATGGATGGATGGATAGGTTGGTGGGTTATTATGTATTATGTAATTAGGTACTGGGAATACATTGATGAACAAAGTAGATCTGGTCTCAGTTGTCCTAGAACCTACATTCCATTTGAGGGAAGGGAATGGTGGTCAAGGCTAAAACAAATGATTGCAATGTAATAAGTGTAATGAAAGAGGAGAACAATGTTATAGATGCATGTTAATAGAGAGCCCAGTCTTGTTGAGCAGGACAAAAGAGGGTTTTTTTTAGGAAGCAAAGTTTTAGCTGCTATCTGAAGGATGAGTGTGATCAGCAGTTGTTTACAAGCCTGATTACATAAAGAAGAAGATTATTACTTGGCTTCTTGTGCCACAGATTCACATATGCTGTGAGTCAAATAACATCCTCTGAAAGCTTAACTAAGACAGGTAATAAAATAGATACATTTAATTTGCAACATAGGTGTTATTCCGGTCTCCTAATTCTGGTGTTAACCAACAAATGTTTATTGAGTATCTACATAGCTATGCAAACCAGTGAACCCAGGGAGATAGAGTATACAAAGAAATCTGGCTCCATTTTTATATATTTGGGGAGAAAAGACATAGTCACAGCTAAGTTAATTAATGAGTCAATATGAGGAAAATACTAGGCAGTGTTCAACAGAAGACATACATTCTGTATTCAGAGGATGCTTAGGGAAGGAAGATGTGCAGAAGGATGGAAGGAAGTAAAGAATTTTGATAAATGGAGAGAAAAGGGAAGGCGAACTACCTGTCAGATATGGAGAGAAAATGGAAGCTATTTTTGAAGGACTCTGAATACAAATGGTAAGTTTAGTAATAATATGATGTTTAGAACCATAGACTTAGAATTTGGAATTTGATCCTGTTGGCATTGGCAAACTGTTATAAATAAGTCCATTTACCAGAGAAAGCTGATAGATTGATAGAAGTTAACTCTTTGTTATATTTTTCTTCACACACACACAAACACACACACACACACACACACACACACACACAAGAAGACCGAACAAAACAAAGAAAGGGAAGAAAAATGTATGCATTGGGAAAGCCAGAAACAAAGTTGGCATGTAAAATCACTTCCATATCATGATTTCGTGATACCTCCTGGGAATGTAGTAAAAATAAAAGAAAATAAACTATTTGATTTCACCATAATGTGAAAAGTGCCTCATAGGAGATAAAGAATGTCAGTAAATGAAACAGGATTCTGGAACTTGAGAATAGTTGGGAAGGTTTGCCAAAGTTAAAAAAAAAAAAACTGATGAAAGAACTCCACATTAACCTGGTCCAATATAGGTCACATTCTAGAGTTCTAATTCATTTGGCCAGTGTCATAATAGGTCATTGCTGTTTATATGCTACATACTTTTAAAATGGTCCCTGAGTTTCTTAATTGCTTGGGAATTTGGGAATGACCTTCTTAATTAAAATGGAATAATCTTAGGAACTATGATGTCACATGGCCTTAAGTTGGAACCTTAAAATATGAACTTATCAGTGCTTAGCAGAGGACAGTTTACTAGGTAATCTTAACACTGTGACATACACTTCCTGTCATATTAATCTGATTTCATTTGGGTGAGACTAAGAAATGACACAATCTATTGTGTTGTTTTTTTAGCTAAGTTCTCTGTCATTTCCTTTAAAACTATAAAAATACTAGATCACAAGATGGTTGGGTGAAAAGCTAGCTGTAGAATTGTATTTCCTTCATTGCCAACTTTTGTACTGGGATAACACTTAAATGATATCTGAAGGCAGTATCTGCATCAAGTGTGTAATATTAAGCATCATCTATTAAGTATTTCATCATTGGTCCACCTATTGGAATGAAGAGCTTGCCACATAAATAATTAGATAACACTAGGTAACAAGGGAGAGGTTAGTATTTCAGAATGTTGGGGATGTGGCCAGAAACAAATTAATTGAAGTTTGTTACTTTATGTGTTTCCTATGGCTGCCTAAACAAATTGCCCCAAGCTTAGTGGTTTAAAACCACAAAGTTTTATTATTTTAGAGTTCTGTTGTTCACAAGCCCAGCACTACTCAGACTAGGCTAACGTCATGCTAGTGACACTAGGCAGGGCTAGTGTCCTTTTGAAGGCTTTAGGGTAGCACCATTTCCTTGCTTTTGCAGCTTTTAGAAACTACCTGAATTTTTTGACTTGGCTTTCACCCTCCCTCCATCTTCAAAACCTGCAAGATAGCATCTCTCTGACCTTCTTTCTTTACCTCCCTTTACTACTTTTTTTTTTTTTTAAGATTTATTTATTTATGCTTACAGAACTAGGGTCCAGTCTAGAGGTGTGGTGGGTAAGAGGATTCACCAGAGACAGAGAGGAGAGCAGAACAGGCAGAGTGACAAAGTACACAGCTGAGGGGAGCAGCGGGCAGCTCAGGAGAGGTCTGCCAAGCCCTGTGGGTCAGCTCCCTGGTTGCGGATCGAACTCATGTTGCAGTGGCTTTAGAGAGCTTCATAATGCGGTGCTTTAACCCATTGCACCACCAGGGAGCACCTTCCCATTACTCCTTTTAAAGACCCTTGATGATTACATTATCCAGATAATCCAGGGTAACCTCCTCAAGATCCTTTAAATTAAGTCATGTTGTGATTTAATCCTATGTACAAAGCCCCTTTGACATGTAAGGCAACATAAACATGGTCTCAAGGGGGTTAGTGTGGGTATTGTTGGGCACCATTTTTCTGCCTATCACAGGTTCAGGCATATTTCCATTTTTAAAATGTGTATAGAATTTGTGCAAATTTTTAAGCCCTCTTTTTTTTAAAAAGATTTATTTATGCATACAGAACTGGGCTACAAGCCAGAGGTGCATGGGTGGTAAGAGGCTTCACTGGGGACAGAATGGGGAGCAGGACAGGCAGATCAATGAAGTACACTGCTGAGGGGAGCAGCAGGTGGGTCAGGAGAGGTCTGCTGCACCATGTGGGTCGCCTCTGGGGCTGGGGAATCGAACTCGTACTGAGGCAGCTGTGGCTAGCCTCCAGGGAGAGTCTGAACCCTCCTTTTTATTTTAACTAAGTTTTTTTTTTTTTGCATAAGATCTTCAATTAAAAAAAAAACTTGAATAAAGTAGTGTGTAATATAGAGCAGAGTAGGAATATAGTTTCCCAGTAAAACACCCAAAGTTACCCAAGCCCTCACAGGGTGAATTCTTTTCAAAAACAAATCTGAGGTGTGGTGACCTTTTGATTCAGTAGGTCTATTTGGGTGGGAAAATTTGCTGAATAACCTAAAAGAGTAACTTCTGGGTGGTGACAGAAGAGGAAGTTGATGTAAAGAAAGATAATGTTCAAGTAAATTAGTAGTACAGGTTATCTACTATCATAATTAAAAGATTTTAGGAATTTGTCTAATGGTTTGTTTGTTTGGGACTGTACATGTCTGAGTCAAAGCTCCTGAGACTCAGCGCATGAGGAAACTTCCAACATGGTAACAGAAGTTTGTCCTTCCAGTAAGGTAGCCTTCTGCTATGTGTAGCACCAGCTATAGACCTTTGTAAAAGGAGTGTATCTTGTTTCAGGACCTTGAGGACATTTTAAATAATAGCTAGTATTTCTTGAAAAGCCTTTCTGTTTTCTGGCCTTATTCTGAATCCTTTGCAGTAAACCTGGTGAAATAGTTGCATTCCTAAGAGGACTCTCAATTGTTAGTGACCAAAAACCAACAAAACACAAAATTGGAATAGCAGGGACAGTATGTTGACCCGAGTAACAGAATGACAGGTTATATCCAGAACTAACTTCACTGAAGATGTACTTGGGACCTTAGTGATAGTAGGACACTCTTTCCTCCTCTTCTGTGCTCCTGTGTATAGGTCATTTTAGTTTTTGCTAGAAGGAAAATTTTATCAGTAAAGGTAGACCTCCAAGGTCAGATGCATAGTAGGTGTTTCACTGATATGTATTAAATAAATGACTTCCTTTTCTGCAGTTGGTGGAGGGCGGAGGTATTGCTCAGACTTATTATTCATTGTTTAGAGAACAGTAGACTTGATTCTTCCTCACCAGTTACATTTTAATGAATCCCGGCCCTGGATGTGTTATGCAGTCTCTATTTATAGGGGATTTTTTTGGTTGAATGTTTAATTGGGATAATATGAGTTGATACATATGTTTCAGGTGTACAGCCTTATAATTCAACATTGGTATATATTATATCATAAACACCACCACCAAAAGTTTTTAGGGTTTTTTTTTTTTTTTTGATTGACAGCCTTCAAAGAACCACCAAGTTTAAAGGAGTTTTTCCCAAAACAAGAGGTACTGCTCTGGGCAGGCTACAAGAATGGCCACAATATTTCAACTTACAGATGCAGGCTCAGAAAAGATGATAGACAAATTGATCAAGGTTACAGCTGGGGACTGGTAAACACCAGACTCCAATCTGATATCACTGGACTCTGGTTTATATTCTTCCCAGTTTACCATACTTAATAGGAGCGCAGCAAAGTGAAGGTTGGAAGTGGAGTTAAGGGGTGTGCAGTAGGATGTTCTTTCTTCAGGGAGTGTTTTGATCATTTCTTCAGTGTGATGTTGATGTTCATTGGTGCTGAGCTATTCTGAGAACCTCTTCCTAACTACAGTTAAGACATGTACCAAGTCAGAAAAAAGTTGTTTGCATTTCTGAGTTGTTTCGGAAAGACAAATGTGAAGAATGAGGCATTTTAGGTTATTAAGTCATTTAAATGAATGTTTTTTTTCTAACATACTATGTGGTCTTTTCTATTAGAATATAAAAAGTGTAAGAATAAAACTTAGTGACTGTTCTTAGGAACCATTGAATGTGAATTGAATTGTGCATGTTTGCAAACATTTCTTGATTAATTGTAATTTTTGCTAAGTGGTGCAAGTAAGAGTAAACTTTACTAAGAAATAATTTGTCATGAGCCAATATAAAAGCTGATATTGCTAGTGTATTTGGGTCATTATAAAAGGAATAGTACTTTAGGACCTGAGACTGGGAAGATACTTTCAAATAAGCAGATAAAAGGAGAAAATATGTATTGCACAGCTCTAAATTATATAGTGTTGTATCAAAAGAAACATAATTTGATTTACTTGCAAAATTTTCATTTTAGAAAACTAAACCTATATTCAGGAAAAATTATTTTAATGACTGAATGACAGATACAACTCGAGTACTCTAGGTTATGTCTTCTAGGGATGTATTTGATAGCATGTGTTTGTAAGAGTCTGTGGCAACATATGAAAGAAATTAGTCATTTGGAAACATATCAAACATACTAGCTAGAAAAATTGGTTTCAGCTCTTGAAAAATCAGCCTTCATATTTTAGACTTAGTAGATATTAATTTCTTTTAATATGATAAAAATGAGGAAGTACATTGGAGGAAGTACAGTTAATTATAAGTACTAAAAATGAACCTAATTAGATAAAATTGTGAATTTAGAAATGTTGTTTGAAAACAACAACTAATTCACCCATTTGAGAAACTCTTTCAATGGGTCAGTGGTTGTCAGCCCTTGTTTTCTGCTTTTCCTTCACTAGCAATACACATTAAGGGAAGGTCACCTAGTGGGGAGGGATGGTGGTGCTAGTGGTGATATGTCCCTCTGGGCGATATGTAGTTTGAAAAGCTTCCCACTGAGACTTATTGCTAGTTGTTGGATACTGTCAAAAATACATAATATAGAAACTAAAATGACCTTTGCTTTTATTATCATTATCACTACGGCATTGTTTCTATTTTCCAATTCTTGCTTCTTTAAGTAGGCAGACCTAGGTGATGGACTTTTCAACATTTGAACTCATACTTCAGCCCAGTTATAACACAAAACATTTAGAAGCACATTTAATCTAAGTATAATTTGTTTTCTGAATATAGTGTTTTTTTTTAAGAAATGACAATTTTGCAAGGGTACCAAATTATCTGTTTCTTTTTGACATACTATAGTATCATTTAGAGCTTATAAATATACCAAAACATATATATATATTTCTTCTTTAGTATTTCAGTTTTCCCTTTAAATGTTCATGTTTTTCTATGACTATCTAGAAATTGCTAGTCAACTGTGAAATTATTTTGTTTTGCCATCATTCGCTCCCCTAGTAGATCCTTATTCTTAGATTGACTAATGTCGAATGACTAACCATCCTGATTAGTGTATTTGCTAACTGTCCAAGAGATCTTTGGTTCTGTTTGTATGTCAAGAGCAAAACTGATTCTGTATGCTTCTCTCCAGGGGAACTGGAAGGATAGTGATACTTTGAGATTTGGAAATGTTAGTAAGGGGTTAATTACAGCTTTTGGACACCAATTTATCCTCATGCACTTAGGTGCAGAAATTCTGTTGGCCCAGACTGGTGCCAATGTCTGCTATCAACCGCCTTATGACTTCTGAGAGGCCTTTAAATGTTCCTCCTTTTCTTTCCCTTAGAAATGCTACCCCCATCCCATACCCTGTACACCCTAGAAGTGATTTCCTTTTTCGCCTTTAATCAGACTATTGAATGAACAGTGAGTTTCCATAGAAGTCTAAGTAAGTCTTTGTAGTGTCCAATTGAGGAAACCCAAATGACACATATATTTTTTCTTTTTTGAAAAGAGATCATCATGCAGGTCATCATGATCTAAGGATTAAAAAAAACAAAAACAAAAACAAAAAAACAGCTGCTTACTTGGATTGACTGAAGGCAGTTATTGAAAGTAAATATGGAAAATGAACCAGACCATGAAAATGTGGAACAGAATCTCTGTGTGAAGACTACTGAAGAAGAACTCAGTAAATCTTTTAATCTTGAAGCTTCACTTTCAAAATTCTCTTACATAGACCTGGACAAAGAGCTGGAGTTCAAAAATGATCTGGTAAAAATTCAAATTTTATCAAGTGGCACTTAACCACAATGTTCAGTTAGAGTATATTTGTAATCCAAATGCTCTGATCTACATATTTTTTTGCATGGGTTAATAAGTCTACACAGTTTTATGATATAATATTACTCAGTATAGGTCATTATATGAAATACTGTAATATATGTTCTCATTTGAGCTTCACAGCAGTCTGATAATACATTTATGAGGAAGAAACGGAAGCAAAACTATATTGAATGACTTCTCAAGATCATAGGGCTAGTGGTAGTCCTATGACACAAAAAATCTTGTGTCATGATTTTTTGCTCCCCATTGATTTGATGTTAATGTTTTTGTGACCATGCGAATATTTAATGTCAAGTTGTTTTATCTCACCATGAGTTATGAAATAACTAAGAAATGCAACATCAGAACTCTATATATTGCTTATGAATTCAGTCTACATTTAGAAAATTAGGACTTGTTATATGATACATTTTTTAAGCCATATTTAAGAAAGCAGATGTTAAGGTCTCAAGTTTTCTGGAAAGGACTGACAGAATGATATAGTTTGTGCATATTTGTCCTTCATAATCCTGAATAGGTGGTGAGAAAAGGAAGCAATTTGGTAGTCTTTTGAACTGACCTTTATTACCATGGATTATTGATTTGGTTTTCTATACAATCACTTTGGTATATTTGTCTCCAATTCTTAATTGCTTCTAATCAACTAAAAGATATTACATGAGCATTCATTTCTTTTCTCTGTATAGATTGATGATAAGGAGTTTGACATCCCTCAAGTAGATACTCCTCCAACACTAGAAAGCATACTAAATGAGGTAAGCATATAACAATAATAACTATTGTTTTATGGCACTGTTTGTTTTTTTTTTTAAGATTTATTTACTTATGCATACAGAGCTGGGGTAGGCCAGAAGTGCAGGGGTGGTGAAAAGATTCACCAGAGACAGAGTGAACAGGCAGATGGATGAAGTACACTGTTGAGGGGAGCAGTGGGAGGGACAGGAGAGGTCTGCTGTACCATGTGGGTCACCTCCAGGGCCTAGTATCAAACACTGACTGAAGCATCTGTGGCTAGCTTGCAGTGCTGCACTTTCAGCCTGCTGTGCCACGAGGGAGGGCCCTTATGGCACTGTTTTTCTAGATTATGGTGTTTGTGTCTAGATCTGCACTGTCTAGTATGGGAACCATGACCATGTGTGGCAACTTAAATTAATTCTAGTCAAATAAAATTTAAAATTCAGTTCCTTATCTGTACAGGGCATGCTTCGAGTACTCAGTAGTCACATGTGGCTGGTGGCTATGAGAGTAGACAGTACAGATACATGGAATTTTTCCATCGTTGCAGAAAGCTTTGCTGGACAGTGCTGATTTAACAACTGTGAGCTTTACAAGGGAAGAGCCAAGTTTTGCTCATTTTTGTGTCATGTGCAATACCTCATCTTCAATGCTATAGATAAAAATAAAATGAAGTGAAGTGAAATATAAAATTCATGTCATTTGAGATATTCATTATACCTTGATATTCTGTCTACCAGTAATGTTCACATAGCTTGTCCTCTGATACTCCAGAGCACCTGCAACCTTGCAATGCATCCCATCACCCTTCTTCATACAGAAAGCAAAACCTCCAGAGTTTGTCTGATGAGTTCCATCTCAAAGAGTTTTCAAGAGTTTTGAAAAGATATTTTTCTTTTCTGAATTAGCAGGTGAAAGACTATAAAGGAACTATGTGGGAAAACCTTTTAGTGAGCTTTGCCAGTTTTTGTGTACTACAACTCTTCAATTCAGTCTTCTTGATCTTATAAACACTTGGATAAGAGCCCCTTTGGAGATCTTAGCTTTGAATTTGAGAAAGATTTTTGGAAACACTTTAAAATCTATTTCAGATTCATAATTATGTTTTCTAAAAGATGATGCAAATTTTCCCCAAGAGAAATGCACCCTGAGCTCATAGCTCTGAATGAATTGGGCCTCAGTTTTGTAATTTCTTAAACTTTTGGGGTTTTAAGCCAACACTTTATAATATATAAGCTACTTTCGCTATGTATTATCTTTTATTATTCTTACGTGAGTTTTCTTCACCACTCTCCCCTCACTAGTTTGATGTTAATGTTACTTTGAATATATTCTAACTTCAAAAATGGTGCGATTTATGCTGAGACTTAAGTATTTTAAATTTTGACAAAGATGACTTTGGTCAGTGAAAGAATATCTTCTTACAGTGAAGTATCCTGTATTTATTGCCTTCTATTAAGAGGAACCTTTCATTTAGAGATGAACAGATTATTGTAGTCATTCTTGCTGTCTTAGTCACATCCTCATTTCAATGATCTTACTAAGAATGAACTAAAAATAATTTTAAAGGGCAGTGCCTAAAGCCTTTGTACATATGTATATAAGAATAAAAAAGAAAGTATTGCTTTTATGAATATACCTGTAGTTCATAATAAAGAAAACTGTCTTTATATAGTTTCCTTATCTGTGAGTAACAGCAAGTACAGTCATTAGTCATTTACTGAGAAAATACTTTCATCCTTAATATGATGCCTCATGTATTTGGGTCATAGTGTTAGATGCTGGGACTATAAAGTGTAATATGATCGTTCCTGACCTTGAAAGGGAAATAGCAGTTGGTCAGTCTCCACAGCCCCAGAGATTGGGCAGGTAGATAAGTAATATAAAGTGGGGGTGGGAGGACAATGGGTCAGGAAGAAGACTTTAAGGGGGTAAGAAATGTGAAAGAAAATTATTTTTAAAAAAAATGGGCAGAAGTAGAAAGTATGAATAAATACTTGTTCTGGGATGTGTGGGTGCTGAAAGGAAATGACATACAAGCTATTTTACAGAATGAGAAATTAGAGATTACTGAGACAGCCTAAATCTCAAAATTCAAAGCATGAAATAGTTACTAGGGCTTGCCATATTTTGAAATTGTGCTGCCTCCAAAGTTTTTGATTTTGAAATTGCATTCTTTACCCATAAGACCCCACTCCCCCACTCCCTTTCTTCTGTGAAATCTGTACTCTGACTTCATCAAGACCAGGTCTCTTGATCTTTCCTAGTCTCCCAGTCTCTGAGACTGTAGTCCTGGCTTCATGTTAATCTTACTGTTGAATCTTGTAACAGAAACTTCTTTTGAACTTTTTTTTTTATCTAAGTACAATATACATATAGAGAAAAAGGTAGAAATCTTAAATTCATATCTTGGTAAAAATTTTAATAAACTGAATGCGCTTGTAACTAGAATCCAATAAAGTAATAAAATACATTACTAGAATTAATATTGTGCCCATTCAGTATCCAACCAGGATAATCGCTGTCCTTACTCCTACCAGCATTGATTAGCTTGCCTGCTTTAAACTTTATATAAGAGGAATTATATATCATTTGTGTATCTGATTCATTTCCTTGATATATTTTTACATTCATTCATATTTTTGCCATGTAAATGTTTATCCATTCCCATTTCTGTATACAGTTCTTTATATGTACCACTATTCATGCTACTGTTTATAGGTACTTGTGTAACTTCCAATTTCTGGTTATTATAAAGAATGTTGCTGTCTTTAGGATACACACATACACACACACATTTCTATTGGATATATACCTAGGAGTAGAATTGCTGGGACATGTTCAGCTTTAGTAGAGACCCACAGGTTTTTCAAAACGGCTATAATAATACAAATTTCCAGTAGCCATATATGAAAGTTCTGTTTACATATCCTTGTCAATTTTTCTTTTTTTCTTTAGCCATTCATTCTTATAGGTGTGTAGTAATATCAGTTTATGGTTTTAATTTTTATTTCCCTGAAGACTAAAGCTGGGTACCTTTATACATGTTTTGGCCATTTAGATATTTCTTGTCAGTTGCCTTTTCTTATCTTTTGTCCACTTTTGATTTTTTTTTCTTATTTATAGGAGTTCTTATATATATTAGATATATGTGTTGTAAATATCTGCTTCCATTCTGTGGGTTGCTCTTTCACTTTCAATGGTGTCTTTTGATGAGTAGAAGTTGTTACTATAGTTAGGTTAATAAGTTTTTTCTATTATGGTAGAAATTATAACAGTATTTCTGTTTAAGAAAATTTTATAAAGTCCAGGGTCAAGATGATGCAGTTCTACTTTTTTTGTAAATCTTGACTTTCTCCTTCATAATTCACCTGGATTGTGTGTGTGTGAGGTATAAACCAGCAATGTTATTAAAAAGAGTATTCTTTTTTTGTGTTAACACCTTTTTTTAAACTCAGGTGTATAGGTCGATTCTGTTGGTCTGTCTATACTTGCTGCAGTGTTGTGTTCTAATATTTGAACCTGTATAGGTCTTGATAACACTAGTTGCTCAGCTTTGTGCCCTTCAAGATTTCCTTGCTTATTCTTGTTTTTTGCATTTCCATGGAAATTTTAGAATCATTGTATTTTAAATTTGATAGGAATTTTAAGCATCAATTTTGGGAAAATTGATTTTAAGCATCAATTTTGGGAAAATTGATACCTTTACTCTGTAACGAGTAATTTAAATTCAACCTTATTGAAACTCAATTCTCTTCTTTTTTCACTGCTTTCTTTCACTTTATCCTGTAAGTCCTCAATCATGGCTTAACTCAAATGATTTGTTTTCATTAGTTATGTCCTCAGGTGGCTTAAGAAAATCAAATAAGATTTTGATTGACTCTCTTCCTTAAGACCTTGGTGATGCAGTTCTTACTTCCAAATTATTTCCTTGCATTTTCCCTGTAGCAGTTACTCTAATCTTTTATAGATTCAAGGAACATAATGTCTCTAAGTAGTCTTCAGATGAGGAAACATCTGAAGAGCATTTGGAAATATGGGCCTAAACTTCAAGAGAAATGGTACTGAAAACAAGAGTTTGGAGCCATTAGCATGATATAGTACTGGAAGCAATAGATAAGGATTAGCTTGTTCATATATGAATTGAAGAATTAAGAAGATAGTCATCCTGTGGAACAAATCCTGGGTTGAGAAGAAACTGGAGAACATGACTGAAGAGAAAAAATAAGTTGGAGGGGCCCTCCCTGGTGGCGCAGCGGGTTAAAGCACTGCTCTGAGAAGCTAGGGCCACTTCCGCATGAGTTCGATTCCCGCCTGCCCCGGAGGAGACCACATGGCGTGGCAGACCTCTCCTGACCTGCCCGCTGCTCCCCTCAGCAGTGTGCTTCGTCGATCTGCCTGTTCTGCTCCCCACTCTGTCTCTGGTGAAGCCTCTCACCTCCCCTGAGCCTCTGGCCTGTACCCCTGCTCTGTATGTACAAATAAATAAATCTTTAAAAAAAAAAATAAGTTGGAGGAGTACTAGAAAACCAAAGTATACTGGAAACCAAGGGAAGGGAAAGTTTTAAGAAGTAGGCAACTGTCAGCAGTGTCAAGTGACGCTTACAAAACAAAAACATGCTAACTGAAAATAGGCCAGTGTATTTGACTAGTAACATACAGCAACAGTAGTAGTCAGTTGCTAGGAATGAGTGGAAAAAGTAGAGATAATGTACTTGACTGGTAACATACAGCAGTAGTAGTCAGTTGCTAGGAATGAGTGGAAAAAGTAGAGATAATGGGTATGGACTCCCTTCTTAAGAACATTGATGGAAAGAGTAGGACAGCAGAAAGAGTAGATAGGATCAGAACATTTTTTTGTAATGTCTGTCACTCAGAATCAATTTGTTCAAGGCTAAACTCATCCTGACATTTTTACTATCCTTCTTATCTCAATTACTAGGGTTGCCTTTTTTTCTAGTTGGTCAAAATGAAAACCTTGGAATTTTCTTTTACTTCTCTGATCCTCCCCTCTACCCCCATTTAGATAGTATCCAGTGACTTTGGATTTTATCTCAGTAATGCCTATTTAATAATTCCTTCTCTTGATAACTTCTTCTGCATCCTTAGACTTCACTCTTTACTCTGTCCTTGATAATATAGTAACTTTTCTGGTCCTTTATAGTTTCTTTGCCTCAGTATCCTTCTGTAACTTCATCAGACTTCATACTGCCCCATTTTTCTTTTTAAAATGTGGTTTCCCTCATCTGTATCCACCTTTAAAAAACCCCAGTTACTTTCACTACATACTATATGTAGTACACTAGCTAATTCATTATATGACCGGCATTGTACTCGGCACTGGGGATGCATTGGTGAACCAGATTGACATAGACCTTGCTGTCACCTAGCTAAATGGAATACAACGCTTTTTACAATTTAGGACCCAACTTATCTTTCTAGTACCACCTCCAGTACCTATTTATATCTTCCAGTCATTTTAGACTATTTCTTCCCCTCTGTATTTGAAATCTATATTTTTAAATCACAGTGTTTGCAGTTACTGTTTCCCTTCCAAAATATCTTTCTGTTGTCTGCTTGTCATATTTTCATAGTATACTATTTATAGTCAATTGGTATTTGACTATATGGATTTGCTCCCCATTAACTATTGGCTGTTAATTAACAAATACAACATCTATACAGGTTTGGGTTTTAAGAAATAATTTGTAGCTAACAATAATCTGGACTTCTGTTCTTGCTTCTTCTACAAGAAAGACCATTTTGTGGTGAACTGTTTGTTGAGAGAAATATCTATCTAGAGTTGACATTTAATTCTATACTGGGCCCCTCTGGTCAATAACAGTGCTTAAAAAAGAGGTGGAAAGTAGAACTAAACATATGAGTATCTTGGAGAAACCTATTAATACCTTTCTGATTTATGAGTATTTGAAATTTTGCTCTTATTGATTCATATTCTTCCAATTTAGACTGATGATGAAGATGAGTCTTTTATTCTTGAGGATCCTACTTTGTTAAACATTGATGCTATTGATTCTCACTCCTATGATACTTCATCTGTGGCAAGCTCAGATAGTGGTGACAGAACCAACTTAAAAAGGTAAGTACTCATTTAAATCCTACTTGAATATGGTTAAAATAGTTGCTAATTTGAAATGTATAAATCTCTTTATAACACAATATGGTCTGTTGAAGCCCTGCATGCAAAGTCAAAGCTCACTTGGTTAGAAATTATATGCTTATGAGTATTAGCATTTTAGGGCATATTAGACCATAAGATTTTGGCACTATTGAAGGGATAGATTAAAAAGATGGGTGCCATGAAAACCCAGTAGGCCACCATAACAGCCAGAAGCAGTAGAGTCATTGGAGGGAGCATGAATTAACCCTGGCATAGTGTCTGTGCTAGAAACATGAAGCTTGGTTTACATCACCACCTCCTATTCACTGGACCCCCCCAACCCCTTGCTCCCACCCTCTAAGATCAGCTCCAGCATTCCTCCTTTCCCTTGGAATGGGTTCAGAGGAGAGTCACAAAGATGATTAAAGATTTGGGAAAAGGACTTATAACCCCAAATAACTTCATTTTGGCTGCTTTTCACCTTACAAATTCTTGGAGAGAACATGAAAAGGAAAGAGAAGTGGAGGAAGCAGAATGTAAATACTTTATTGAATTCATGTGTAACTCTTAATGTTGATAAAGTTGTCTGTGTTTTTCCTTTCTTTAATTTTGCCTGTATCAGTGCTGCCTTCTTTAGGTTGTCAACTCTTGTGGAATGCAGCCATTGCTGGGTATTAACCTGTTCATCACTGTGGCCTATGAATAGATAACTTAAATGTTTTCTTTGTCAGCTTTATTGAAGTAAAACAGATACATAACATTGTATAAGCTTAACATGTCAGTTCTTTAAACCTTTATTAACATGTGTATTATGAAATGATTACCACAACAGCGCTGTTATCACTTCATGTAATTATTTCTTTTTGTGATGAGAACATGTAAGATCTCTCTTGACAGTTGTCATATATATAAGTATAGAGAATTCTTTCAAGTTTATAATGTTGTGAGCTTTATTATTGTTAACTATAGTACCATACTGAACATTATTAGATCCCAGAACTTGTACCCTTAACTCTTTTCTCCCCTTTATCCTGACTTTCTAGCCCCTGGCAACTACTATTCCACTGTCTGTTCCTGTGAGTTCAGTTTTTAAATTTTTATTTATTTACCTTTTGAGTTTTTTTTTTTCTCTATGTATGGAACCTTATTTGTCTTTCTCTGTCTCACTTATTTCACATATATAATAGCTTCATGATTGACCCAGCTTCTAGGTCACAAATTTCCTTTTTGTTCATAACTGAGTGATATTTCTGTGATTGTGTGTGTGTGTGTATGTGTGTGTACACATGCAAAGCACATAATATATATGTTCTATAGCATTCCCTATTATCCCCCTAATGTATACATACATACACACACAAAACACACAAGCCATCTTTATCCATCTCCAGTGGATATTTAAGCTGTTTCCATACCTTGGCAATTGTGACTAATTCTGCAGTGACCTGGGGGATGCAGGTATTTCTTTGAATAAGTTCATTTACTTTAGTTATATATCCAGAGGAAGGATTGCTGGATCCACAGTGAAACACCTCCATACTGTTTCCCATAGTGACTATCCCAATTTACATTCCTACTAATAATTCAGCTGGCTTCTTCTTTATGTTCTTACAAGCATTTGTTACCTTTTGTCTTTTTGACAATAGCCTTTTTAAAGGTGTGAGGTGATATCTCACTGTGGTTTTGACTTGCATTTTCCTGATCATTAGTCTTGTGGAGTATCTTTTCATTTACCTGCTGGCCATTTGTATGTCTTCTTTGGAAAAAAAAAAAAAATAAAGCCTATTCAGGTTCACTGAGCATTTTTAAAATTGGATTGTTTGCTTTTGCTATTGAGTTGCAAGAATTCCTTATATAGTTTAGATGTTAATCCTTTATCAGCTAGGTAATTTGCAAATATTTTTTTCTCATTCTGTAGGCTGCCTTTTCACCTTACTGTTTCTTTTGTTCTTCAGAACTTTTTAAAGTCTATTTATTTTGCCTGTGTTACTTGTTCTTTTGATGTCAAATCCAAAACTTGTCGCCATGATCAAGGTGAAGTAGAGTTTTCCCTACTTTCTTTTCTTTTTTTTTTTTTTTTTTGCATTTAAAGAATAAGTTCATTAAAAAGAGACAGGAAAGGAAAAGGCACTTGCATAGGCACAAGTGGTCAGGAAGACTGCCCCGGAAGGGACAGGTTTTCAGAGAGAGAGAGACCGGCATGGCTGCAGGCAGATGGCCTTAGGAGAGCTGCCTCCCCTGAGGGAGGTCAGTGCAGAGAAGTCTGGTGTGGTACAGATCACTGGCAGGCAGGAGGCTGCTGCCCTGCAGAGGGAGAGAGCGTGTAGAAAGAAGCACCTGCAGAATCACAGGTGGGCAGAGGACTGCTGCTGAGTTTTCCCTATTTTCTGTAAACTCTTTTCGATTTCCTTTTCTCTTTCTTATAGGATTTCCTAGTAGCCCCCTAATAAATGGGATCAAGCTCTTCTTTATTTCAAATCATTTCTGTGGTTTAGATATTTTTCTTTTAATAGTAACTTAGGCTTGGAACCTTGACTTTTCTTATTTTTTATGTTTTCTTCAAGGAGTTTTATAGTTGAAAATTTATGTTTAAATATTTAATTGATTTAATCCATTTAATATTTTGTGAATGACATAAGATACAGATGCAGCTTACTTCTTTTGCATGTATTTATCCAGTTTTACCAACAGATTTATTAGAGAGAGTATCTTTTGGATTGAGTATTTGGCTCAAATATTCCTACATTGTGTGCAAGGGTTTATTTTTGGGCTCACAATTCCGTGTTATTAATCTAGGTCTCTGTTCTTATGCTACTATCATAATGCTTTGATTACTGTAGTTTTGTAATATAATTTTGAAATCAGGAACTGTTATGCCTCTGGCTTTTTCTTTTTCAGGATTGCTTTAGCTAATTGGAGTTGTGTTTCTGTACATTAACCAAAAATCTTAACAAGTAGTAAAATAATAAAATACTTAGCATCATAAATAATAAAATACTTAACAGTAATTTTAGTAAAGGAAGTAAAAGTGCTGTACACTGAAACTTATAAGATATTAATGAAACAAGTTGAAAAAGCATAATAAGTGAAATGATATCCTATATTCATGAATTAATACTGTCAAAATATTTCCAAAACCACCTACAGATTCAATGCATTTATCAAAATTTTCATGTTTTTTTTTTTTCACAGAAACCAAGTAAATTCTAAAGTTCATATAGAACCATGACAACTTAAAAGTTTTTGCTCATCTGCTCACTACCTGCTTAACAGATATGATATCCTCTTATTGCATACATGATAATGTGAGGACCCTGCTTATCACTTCACCATTTGACTTTATTTCTAAGTAGCCCCACTGGTGTTCTCTTGATCTATGCTTTTATGGACTCCCCCTTCCTTCCCTTTTAACTCCCTTCTGCCTCCAACCTGCACCTTTACATCTTACTTTGCTTGCAGTTTTCATTACCTGGTGACCTTTGGTTACCTATCAAGAGCAGATTGGTCATTTTCTTTTTCTGTAAGATTCCTTAATATCACTAATAAATGGAATCAAACTCTTCCTTATTTCATACCATTTCTATGGTATATGTACTTTTTTTGTTCAATATTCATCTTTTTAAGAGTTACTTTATTACTTTTTCTAGGTAGGCTATGGGGCCCTTGAGCATTGAAGTCTTTACTTTTCTTATTTTTTATATTTCCAGATCATATTTTTATTTACATAAGTATAGATGTTCAATGACATTGGTAAGAATTTAAAAATTAACTGTATGGTGGTGATTAGGGTATGTCAAAGGAGCTTTTAGTTGGAACAACAGAAGATGAATAAATGAGTAGGGAATCTGAGGTGCTTGGTAGAAGAATAAGGCAGTAGTTACAGACAGGAGATCAAGACAAGTGGGCAAGGGTAGAAGGCAGAGATAACTTAGAACAAGGAACACAATCTAGGCAGCCTTCTGGTGAATAGTACATCTTCTTGCTATATTACTTTAGGTAGGCAAGGAACAGTTTGGATTAGTGAAAAAGGGATCATGGCTTTATTCATTTTCCTGCTTGTGTTTTTCTAAGATTCAAAAACTTAATGTGGAATTGTTAGGCTCTATGCAGCTTTGCAAAACAGAACTGACAAGTTACAAATAGTGTTGTTCTCTGCTTTTCTTATTCTTTTATTTTCCAGTGTTTTGTGGCTATCATTTCAATTTTTGTCTGTTCTTAAATATATCTTTCTTTTTTGCTTTTAGGAAGAAGAAATTACCTGATTCTTTTTCACTCCATGGGTCAGTTATGCGACATTCCCTTTTGAAGGGAATTTCTGCTCAGATAGTGTCTGCAGCTGTAAGTATTTTGTTCTCTCCCCAGTTTTATAACCTGCAATGGCATAATGAAGTAGGAATGAGCATAAAACAAAGCACAGTACTTCTCTTGGCCTGAGGCTTAAGAATAATAGAATCTGGCTTTCATGATTTTTGTGTGATTATTTTTGACTCATAAGACATGGCTACACATCTTGACATAGAAATTAGTGCAGCCATGAAATAAAGGTCTGCTCAGAGTCTTGGGTGTGCCTACATGGAATATGGCAGCAAGCCTAAAAGAAACACTATCTGCCTTTTCTTTAAATTCCTTTTTCAGTTTAGTGGCCATCTTAAGTATTTGGTTGAGGTAGAGTGCTTGTTTTTTTTTTAGTCTTTTTGAATGGAGAAATGATTGATCAGGATCATTTATCACTGAGTTGATTTTTTAACATAATTTACAAAAGTCTTTTCATGTACTTTTCTTCATTTACTCTTATAGCTTTGAAAGTAGGGAAAGTCATATCCTATTTTACAAATGAGAAGACAGACTCAGAAAGGTGATATTAACTTGTCTTACATCATTGGGTTAGGAGATAGCAGAGCAATTATTCAAAATTAAAGTTTCTGGCTCCAAGGCTAGTTCTGCTCTGTTGTGAAATGGAGATAGTACCAGCTAGTGTATATGGCTGGAACAGAATATCTGTGATCTTTTTTGAAAATGATTAAGGCCACTGGGTTAATGCAAATGTATTTAATAGTCCATCAAAACAATAGGTTTTGATGCTAGTGTGTTTTATCAAACTTTTTCTTTGATTTTAAAGCCCATAGTTTTATGTGCTTTTTCAGCATTAGAGTTTTTTGAATTCAATATGTAGCTCCTGTAAATGATGATGATGATGATGATGATAATAATGGTGATGATGATGATGACAGCTTCATATCCCAGGAAGTTCAATGTGATTTTTAAAGTTCTTTTCATGGAGTTTGTTTGGTGTTTCATATATATATTCAGTCTGGACAAAAAGTAAAGGTTTTGATTTTTCAGAAGAGCTAGAGATTAATCCACAAGTGGCATTAGAATACTAGAACCACATTGCAATTTTCAGGTTTATTAGAGAGAGCTTTTATTGCAGATAGCAAAAAAAGTGTTCTCTGTGGGCAATTGATATACCCTGACCCAGCTCATATATCGTGAAGTCAAATTAAATAGAGAGATAGTCAAGCCACAGAGGTAACCTGGGCAATTGTCCTTCCTCTTTTAGGTGGGGAGTAACTCATATTTGCTAGAATAGGAACCACCTGTTGAGGATTACATTTCCATGACGTTTTCTGAATTTAATCCTTATGTAGGTGATGAAATTCATTCCTTTCAAAATCAAGATGAACCAGAACAGTCATTTGACCCACCTGTGCAGTTTTAAAAATATTTTGAATAATGGAGACTGAACTAAAACTCAGACACTGAACAGTGATTAGATAAATCTGTTATTTAAAAGGGTTTCTCCTCCTCCTTGAAGAGGAGGGGAAAATTCTAATAAATCCCAGAGTGTTTGCATTCTATTCTTATTTCATTGCTATGGCTGAGCTCCTTTGGTATGTTAAAATGAAAACTACTTTTCTTGTGATATTCTTCATTCTGTGCCTTCCTAATTTTGGATTACCAGCTCAATTTAAGTTGTATGCTTTTCTGTGATGGTTTATTAACATGGAAAGCTAGTTTTATTTTTGGGTTTCTCTCCTGAATAGTTTTCAATAATGCCTTCAACCACATGGATAGTGATGTTTTGAGGGCTGCCTGGGGCCTTCATCTTCACAGCTTTGTAGTCCAAGCATGGAGAACACTTAAGAGGATGAAACTTTTGGAATCCTCTTCATGGTGAAAACACATGTGACTGTATTTTAAATTTTTCAAATTCATTTTTTATGAATATTTATCATTTTGATGATAAACTTAAGATAGTAGAGATACTTGAGTACTGTGTTTCTGCAAAATATGTCCAATGTGTCAGAATCTCCTGGGCAGTTTATTAAAATGCAGATAACCTGAGCACCTCCCTAGATGTACTGAGTTGGAATCCCTAGCAAGCAAAGCATGCATAGCATAGGGCTCTCTGCCCATAGCAGATACCCCAGATGATTCTGATTCACCCTGGCTTTTGAAGACCACTGCCTAAAGGTGTTGCAACACCAGTACCAAGATTCTATATTCTCTCAAATGAGTCCCACATCTGTGGGGGTTTTTGGCTTTTAAAGTTAGCTGAATTTGTATTTCATTGTTCAGGTTCCATTTTGAATATAGTTTCATTCTTCATCTGCTGTTTCATTATTTTTTCCTATCTCGGACACAAGTCAATCATTTAAAACCTAATTTGTTGCAAGCTTCTTAATCGTAGGAATTATGTTAGGCACACTGTGCACACACACACACATGCACACACACAAAGTTGTATGTAACCTGCTGTGTAGAACATTGTACATGGCAGTCTTAGTGGTTGTTCTTCCTTATATTCCCATGAACTAGAGTATGTTTCTTAAGTTAGTTGACAGGAAGCACTATAAAGTTGGATAAAAGACATTCTGGCTTCTAAGAGATATTACTGATCACATTGACAGAAAGACAAATAGAAAAGAAATGTGAAAGAGACGTAAAGAACCTGGTAACAATTCCTGGCTAAGCTTGGGCAAAACGTTCATTTTCTTATTCTGGAAAACAGAATACTACCGTCTAATTTATCCCTGCCAGTTTGAGAATTAAATGGTATAATATATACATATGAGCACTCTTTACCATTACACTGCTAATTATTGTCATCATTTACAGCTATGGAAGCATCAAATAGTTATCCTTACATTTACACAGTACGGGACATTTAATTTGATTCTCAGGAAACTCAGAGGTTGATAGGACAGTATTTGGTAGTTCTTTGATGAGACTAATACCCAGCAGTTTCAGGTGACTTTCCTAAGTATCTACTTGGTAGTAAGGAGCTGGGATCAGCATTTAAGTTTGATTTTCTATGCTTCAAAACTGACTCAATATATCTTGCTTGGGTTTCATTTAGGGGTTATTGTATAATCTGTTGGGTAGGAAGTTCTGACTTAGAGGAAGACGATCTTTGACATGTGTTTCTCTTTTCCGAGATATTTATGTTTTTCTACTATTTTGATCCATAGTACTTATAGTTAATTTACTGTAGCTTGTTGGAAATGAAACCTCTTTCCTCTCTCTTTTCCTTTACATTTTCATTTATAATCAGTACCCTTACTGAAGCATCTGCTGGAGTTAGTAAAATAAAATGAATCCATTCTCATAGCCTTTGTATTTTTGTTGAAATATACAACTTTTAGTTAGGAGCAAAAATGAGATTCTGCCTCTGAATTGATTTGGCTCAAGGTGTATGTAATGAGACATCCTTATGTCATTTTCCATTTTAAAATTAGAATATCTAAAAAAAATTGGAATATCTTTTTTAAGAACTTCTTTTAAAATTTCATTTAGGACAAAGTAGATGCCGGCTTGCCTACAGCAATTGTAAGTATATTTTAAGTAATCCTTTAAAGGTAAGCTTTCTGTGTGACTGGGTTGAGAGATTTTTACTTATAATATTCAGTTATTACATTATTTGTGATAATTATTGTGATAATAAACTAATAAATCATTTACTGCCAGTTTAAAATTGATCCATATTGAATGTTCTCTTTTTTCTCCCAGTGTATTGTTAAATCTGAAGAAGCAGATAATGGAGTAATGATTAGCTTCTTTCAGGCTTATTTGTATGTGATACTTCCTTGCCCAAGTAAATTTGCTCCTTTGTTGATTTGGCTTCTCTTTGGCTATAGGGCATGGAAAACAGTATTTGGTAAAATCAATTTGTGGCCAGTAGTACATTTAACAGCTCTGAACTTCATTGCCAAACCTACCACAAATCTGCGGTGTGATTATAAATGGATCGTGACTATTTCTAGCTCCCTTGGGGTAGCTTATTATTATTTTTGTTGTTGTAGCTTATTAGTCAGTGAGGAAGCGGTGCCTTTTGGCTGCTGTGAGTAAATTGCCCAAGAGCTTGTTCATCCTTTCTGTGTACCTCACAGGAGGCTCTTGGCGGGGTAGAATAAGAGCGTTTTACTTTGTCTGGACTCCTGCATTTAAAAAAAAAAATGGCTTTGGAGAAAACTAATTGGCATGTTTTGCCTGTAATGTTGAACATATGCTATTTTGATATTATTGTTACCCTGCCAGTACATTTAAAAGGATTCCCAGAAATATAGTGGCCTGACTTTCATTTCCCATTTTGCCTCTTAGATGAAATTATCCTTATTTGTAATAGTTGGTATGTCATCTGGTTTCTAGAGGAAAGAAAACCAACAAAGTCAGCTGTGATTGTTTCAGAATCCTTGATATAATTTCTTAAAATATAATCTTCCTTTTTGTTTTCAGGCAGTCTCCAGCCTAATAGCAGTGGGTACATCTCATGGATTGGCTTTAATATTTGGTAAATGTTCTGAGTACTCATTTTAAATTTTAAGCATTCTTTCACATATTATAAAATCTTTTAATCACAGATTATATAATGAACTTTATTTTTTTTTGGAAAAATCAAAAACTTGACAAATAATAGTGATATTTTTGATATTTTCATGGTTAAAAATTACTTGACTCAGCTTCATTTTGTTTCTCATTACAGATTTATGTTATTCTTTATAAAGTTGTTAGTTACTCTATCTCTTGACTCTGCTGGCCTAGACAAAAAGAATATAAAATTGAAAGAGTCCTTGGGTTGTCATTTTGTTGGCTTCTAATTGGAGTGGGGGTGATTTTTAATTGTAAAACATAATCAAATAATAGATAATCTGGGCCCTCCCTGGTGGCACAGCAGGTTAAAGCACAGCACAAAGAAGCTTAAGCCACTTCCGCATGAGTTCGATCCCCGCCTGTCCCCGAGGAGATCCACATGGCCAGGCAGACCTCTCCTGACCCGCCTGCTGCTCCCCTCAGCAGTATATTCGTTGATCTGCCTGTTCTGCTCCCTGCTCTGTCTCTGGTGAATCCTCTCATCCTCCGTATCTCTGGCCTGTACCCCAGTTCTGTACAAACAAATAAATAAATCTTTTTAAAAAAATAGATAATCTACAATATTTCTTCAAGAAGAGACTTTCCCAATAATTTTCAGTAACACACAAGAGCAATAAATTATTTTACATTTCTAAACTAAAGGTTTTATTCTATAATCACTTTTTTTTTATTTATTAAGAAGAGAATTTAGGGAGATAGTTTTAAGTATCTTCTCATTTTTTTTCCTTCCTGTAATTAAAGTACTCTAATTTCATTTATCTTTATTTGCTTTTGAATTCAGTGCTTTGAATAGTATATTTTGTTCTGATTTTTTATTTAGTAACTCAGATAATTTTTTTTTTTTTTAAGATTAATTTATTTGTACTTACAGAACTGGGGTATAGGCCAGAGGCTCAGGGGTGGCGAGAGGCTTCACCAGAGACAGAGTGGGGAGCAGAACAGGCAGGTCGAAGTACACTGCTGAGGGGAGCAGCGGGTGGGTCAAGAGAGGTCTGCCACGCCATGTGGTCACCTCCGGGGCAGGCAGGGATCGAACTCATGCGGAAGTGGCTTTAGCTTCTCAGTGTTGTGCTTTCACCCGCTGCACCACCAGGGAGGGCCTGTAACTCAAGATAATTTTTAAAAATTATTTTTAGTGTTCTCTTTGGGTCTTAAGACTTTTGTATCTCAGTTAAGTGGTATGCCTGATGTATTTCAATAAGGAATCACCAGGATATTGTATAATGATTATCTGGGAGTACTTTGATAGTAGAATAGCAGTTTAATCTCTGTGGATCTTGCATCTTCACCATATCACATCAGTGACTAACTGGTTATTTTTCCTTGTTTTGAACCAGTTGACTTCTATTTGTACGTTTTTCATTATGTCAAAAACTAATACCTATTTTGTCAAAAGTTACTGACTTAGTACTTTTATTGTTTGGGGTAAGAAAAATAGAAACAAGTATAGTTCTCTTGAGAGAACATTACATTTAAATCTTTAACTAGTGGATTCTTTTCTTATTCTATAATTGATGTGTGTTCATAGTAGGAAAATATAGATGAGCAAAAGATTGAAGATATGATACTAAGTTCTACCATGCAGGAATGGTCCCAGTATCTCTGGATAGCTTTCTAATCTTTTTTTTTCTGTGTGTGTATATGTGTATTTACATAACCCCCTGCCATAGGATCATGTTAATTTGCAACCTTCTTTTTCATTACAATAAACATCTTCCATATGATTATGTCTTTATCTATGTCACTTTTCATGATTGTGTAGTATTCTTTAAATAGATTGATTATAATTCACTTAACCATTTACAACTATAAGACATTTAAGTGAGTGGTGAACATCCTTGTTACTGCATTTTTGTACATATGATTATTTCCTTTGGAAAATTTCTAAAAGTGGAATTGTTTGGGTCAGACTATGAACATCTTAAAGACTTCTGATATATTTTACCTACAAATTGCCTTCTAGGAAGTTTTACCAGCTTGTAATAGTAAATATAAGAATGCTTGTTTTCTTATATCTATGGGAGCATAATTGGTATTAGAGTGATAAAATTTTGGGAAAGATCTTTAAAGTTTTTTTAGTTCACTTCCCTTATTGAGAACCATAGAGGAAACTGACATGCACAGAGCCAGGTTCATAATCACTAAATCCTAGGTTAGTGCATTTCACCATTGTGTGATTCTCCTGTCCTAAGAGAAAAAAGAAACAAATTCCTCTTTTTCTCTGAATCAGGTTAGAATCTAATGCATATAACTGTCAGGAGAATGCTTATTGATTTTTTGTTCTCACTTACTGGTATTCACTTTTTCTCAACTCTTTTTGCTTTGACATCCCTTCCTTATCATGAGGTTTTAAAACTGTGCGCCTGCTTATAATCAAGTCCATGTAGAGCTTGCTGCAGAAAACTGAAATGAAGATTTAAAAACAGGAGAAGAATACATTGTGATTTGATAACTGTCTCCTTAATTTTTATGGGACTCCCTCATTTTTTTAGATCCAGCAGCTTTCCTATGGATATGAGTATATGGTAATCTTTCGTTATTGTTTCGAGGAAAAGAAAGTCTGAACACTTTTTTAAAGGAATCATATATTTGGTTATATACTTTTTTTTAACATGAGATTATCTTATTTTGTAACATAGTATAAAGGTTCAGGAGCATAGCTTTATATTTTGTTATCTGTACATGCTGCATTATGTACATATTCTGTGGGCATTTAATCATATATAGTTTAATAGCTTACTATAATTTTACTCAATAAATTTACTCATAATTTTTGTAAGTACCAGATATTTGTACAATGAGTTTTAACAAATGGTTTCAAATTTGCCTGAAAGCCCGAAACAAATGGCAGAGTAATACTATAAAGTGTTTAGATAAAAGTTTGGTTTAAATCTCATCTCTTTTAAACGTTTGGTTTAAATCTCATCTCTTTTAAACATCTTTGTCAATCATAGAAAAAGTGCAGCAGGAAGAGCTGTATTTGTTTGTACCATTAAATTCTCTTTGGAAAAGAGGCCTGTGTCATTAAAATAATTATCATTATAAACTTCTTAAAGGTTGATGTATTGCCTGTCCTTATGGAACTATAGGAATGTAGTATTTGTTGTATGTTTTCATTCTTATATCATATAGGGTCTAAGAAATTAAAATCTTAGAGAACTCTTTCCCAGGTCCTTAGTTTTCCATCTAGTGTATGTCAGTAGATAACCTTTTTGAAATTATTTTTAAGTCTATATTAAACATAGTGGGCTTGGATTTACTTACTGTGCTATACACTGAATATTATATATTTTCTCTTTTCCCATAACCAACAACTGAATATAATCATAAGTGCTAACTATAATCATAAGTGCTAACTATATCAGTAATCACATATAGTGTCTGTCACTTGTACTCTTAAAATTTTACCCTTTTTCTGAACTTTTGAACTGATTTCTTGATTTTTCTCTCTCTTTTGACTTTTTTTTCCTCCATGGATTCAAAGGAAAAGGTATAGTAATTTTGGTTTCCATGAGTGACCTTTTTAATGTTAAAAGAGAATACTATCAATTACAGTGTGATTTTTGTGAGATGCTTATTGAAGCAAAACAGCTAGTTGAAAGATTGATTAAAGCAAGAGAATTGTTAAAAATTATAAATATATGCATATCTTCAGTGCTTTATTTAAACAGAAACTATATAAATATTTCTTTAGTCTTTTGATATAGTCCAAAGCCTATTGTTTGTTTTGCTAGTTGGAGGGCTGATGTATCTTCTATGTCTAAACTGTTTATCCATATTGGGTTATGTCAGATTTGTACTTTTAATTAAAAAGCAAAGAGGTGAAAGCTTAGGCACCTGTAAATACATCAAGGAGTGCCCAATTCATTCTCCTTTGGTCTTTTAATATATACAAAGGGTAAGAAAAGAGTAAAGTTGAATGGTAAATGCAGGCAATAAAAGTAGAACTCTAAATTTAATTTCTGCTAGGATCTAGGTTAATTCTTATTTGACAGTTGATGGGAATTCGTTAAAGGAAATTAAGGGTAAAAAAAAAACAAAGGATTGGGTTAAGTTTGGCATATAGATAGAACATAAATTCTTTAAGTTTATTTAAACTTAGATTTTATAGACATTATTATTTGTGGCTTTTCTTTGCTATACAAACTTAGTTTAAAGCCAAAGTATGCTGATGAGATCAATCTTAAGAAAGGTATATTGCAGTGTTAAATAAATTTTGCGTGTGTGTGATATTTAGGTTTTAAGTTCTCTGAGTTAATTGACAAGCGATTGTCATTAATAATGCTTCCTTGCATTTTTTATCATTTGATAGCTTTTGGAGACGTTTTCTTTAAGTGCTCTACCAATTCTGAAATTTATAGGAAAAATGATCATCTCATTTCATATTTCTTGCCCAGCCATTTGCTTCATAAAGATCCCTTCTATTTTTTTTTTTACAAATGAAGTTGACAGTCAGCCAAATATAATTTTGTTGTTTTGTAAGTGAAATTGGATGTGCTATTAATTTAATATTTTTCTCCATTCATAGACGAAGACTTCAAGAGAGTGGGGAAAGAATAGATTTTTTTCCTTTTAAAAATGAGATCTAGAGTCTTTTGGAGAATTGAAACTTAGAGAGAGCTGTAGTTTTCACCATTCCTTTTGTGCAGGTCCTTTTTCTCTTTTCATATAACTGCAGAATTTAACTACTTGGTTGAGAATTTATTATTTTCCTTTCAATTATTTAGAATTATCTGGTTTATAGAATTTTTAGTAGTAGTTTTAAACCTTAGCAAAGAACCCTTTCCAGTAAGACTCCACTTTATTCTTTTCACAAAAATCTACCTTTCCCTAATTTAGTTTAAATTACATTACACCAGGTTTGTTAATATATAATGCAATAAATGCAGTTGATAAATATAGAATGTTGAAATCAGCAATAACAATAGGTAGATATCTTTCTGGAGCTAAAATATATTTTATACACTGTGCATCATCTCATAGCTATGCTTCTTATAAAGGGACATTATAAAGACAGTGAATATATTGCAAAATATCAAGAAAAAGGTTGAGAGTGTTTTCATTAACACAGCTCTCGATACATATTTCAGGAAAGACCCACAAAAGGTAAAGCAAAATTATGTTTGGTTTTTAATCTAGATATTAGATAATATCCTCATTCTTCCTTATTTCCTTATATCCTTGTTTTCTATTCTATTCCTTATTCTCCTCAATTTTTCAAATCTGATTTTTCCTGAGTTTTAAGAAAACTTAAAAATTGTTTATCTTTGTTAAATCAGTAGGCATTATTGAGTATCTTTAAGCATGCACAGATCAGAACTCTGGTAGTGTTGGATCTCCTAGCAAGGTTTGCAAAGGATCCCAGTGGGCCACTATTCAAGCTACAATGTGCCTGCTAGACAGGCAGTCTGATGTTCGGCGGGTCTTTGTGAGACTGAAGTGGAATTTCTTTGTCTTTGTTGTCTACATGTTGCCTGCATGCGTGACCTGAAGTAGTTATTTATGTGAAACAAACACTGATTTGTTGCCCAGTCACTGTGTTTTGACATTGACAAAATAAGGTATATGGATAGTCCACCAACTGTATAAAACAGCCCTGACAAAATGACAATCAAGGAAAACCTATTTTAGGAGGGCATTTTCAGTAAAACAAAGTTATAGGCTCATATCAATAACCAAGCAAGTAGAATAAAAGAAATGATAATAATTTGGACTAAAATAGAGGAGGGAAGAAAAAGCATAGAGGAGACCAGTCTGCATATACTGGGGGGAGGGGGGGGAGTTCAATAGTTTAATTCTAGATATGACTAAAGATTATGACTTTTTAAATATATCACAAATGTGTTCGTGGATGTTATTCCTTTTTGAATGATTGCCATGGAAGGCTAAAAATCTAAAATGACTTCTGAAAACACTTAGTATTTTATGAGTGTTGCATATCGTACAGTCATTAATTGTTTCAGAGGTATGTCTTGGGGTAGTGGGGATTATTTTTTGAAACTGGTTATGAACTCAGAAAAATATTCTCCCAATATTCACTTTGGATGAGCAAAATGACATACCTAATGTTATTCCCTAGACCTGAGGGTGAATATCTTAAGACTTTTCCTGATGACTTATCCTTGTAAAAGGAAGATTTGCAAATGTGGAAGCCATTCAGAATATTGTCTGATGCCTTCTGAGTGTAAGCCACCAGGTTATTCTGGGAGTGTTAATTTATTCAACATCTCAATTCTCAGAGTAGTCCTAGCTTAATACTATAAGTAAGATACATGTTCTTTCCAAAACTAGCATGTAGATAGCTAAAGGAGGCAAAAACAAACTCTGGGGGCACTGAGAAAACTCTAAGTTGTATATGGTTTTTATTTTTTCTAAATAGCTAAATTTTATAGGCATGCCTTCTTACATTTAAAATTTTTATCACTATTTTCAAATAGGTAAGTAGTGAACTCTGTATAAAGTAAACATTGTCTAAAAAGAAAGCTTTTAAACTATTAAGTGATAAGTTTAATAAATATTTGAGTGCCTCCTGGAGAAACAAGAACCTTGCTCTTAATCTTCTAGATATTTGAATTATTTGATTTTAGCATATCAAATGTTGCTACTTCAAAATAAGTTTTTTAAGTAGTGTAAATGTTTACTTTGAATTTTATTTGCAGTGTTAATTTGCCTAGTAAGCCATTTTTGCAAGGGTAATATAAATGTAAATTTCTAAAACACAAAAATTCTAATATGCAGAAATGAACAAATTTTGATTTGAAATTTTAAAGCTACTTTAAAAGATGGTATTTTCTGTAATTTTGCATTCTGAAAATGCTGAGAAGTACAATTCTTGGATAAGATGAAAGATAGTTGGGGCCTCTTTGGTGGCACAAGGTGTTAAGTCTCAGCACTGTGAAGCAAACCACTGCAGCATGAGTTTGATCCCCAGCCAGGGAGCTGGCCCACATGGCACGGCAAACCTCTCCTGTCTCAACCACTGCTCCCCTCAGCAGTGTATTTTAGTAGATCTTGCCTGTTCTGATCCCCACTCGGTCTCTGGTGAATACTTTCACCCCCCGCCCCCACACCTCTGACTTACACTCCAGCTCTTGTATGCACAAATAAATAAAATAAACCTTTTTTAAAAAGGTGAAAGATAGTTGATTTTTCAAGGAGATATAAATTTCTTATGGATTTTTTTTTTAGCTTCTCATTAGCAAGTTTTGTTGCTTCCTTACAGATTTTTTTTCTGTATTCTTTGTGTCAAATTCAATGCCTGGCATCCAGTAGATGCTTGAGACATATATTTTAAAATTGAATAGCTAATATCTGATTCTTTTCACCTTCCAAATGCTAAGAGTGGTCTATACAATAAGATATTTATTCATTTCCTTCCCTTGATTTTACAAAATCACTTTCCTTAGATCAGAATCAAGCTTTGCGACTCTGTCTGAGTAACACTAGTGTTGGAGGTCAGTATGGAGCCATCTCTGCCCTGAGTATCAACAATGACTGCTCAAGACTTCTCTGTGGCTTTGCCAAGGGACAGGTAAATATTATTTTATCTATAATACTATGTAAAAATCAATTTTTAAAAATTAGTATTACAGGTCAATTCTTGAAGACCAGAATATGTGTTACATAGTAGAGCTAACATGAAATTGCTCAGTTTGACTATTTAAAATTTTCTCTCTCTCTCTCTCTCTCTCTTTTTTTTTTTTTTTTTTTTGTAGTGCAGAAGAACTTTAGTAGGATTAGTATGCATAGAGAGAGAAAAAAGAAACACCCAAAGTCATCTAGCCCCACATGGGTAGATTCCCAGCCATACAAGTTTGGCCCAAAGTGGGGTCTTTGGGACCCAAAAGCTTACCACAAGTTCTAATAATTGTTATTCACTGAGCCAAAATCTGCAATTAAACTTACTCACTCATGTGTTTATGTAAGTAAATGGCTTTTATAAACCAAAGAACCAAATATGTGTTATAAAGTGACACATCTGTAGACTGAACTTGCTTAATCTATTTCTATTTAAATTTTTAAATGATTATTTACTGAGCCAAAACATGTAATTTTTAATAACTTAACCCATGTGTCTATAGAAGCAAATAGTCTTAGAACCAACCAAGTGGTTATACAGAATGTATTTCTTATGACAGTGTAGGTAATTATTGCTGCTTTTTTTGTACTCGTATTGCTGTGTTTCTAGAAAACTGTAGACATTTCTTTCTACATCTAACAAATCTGGCGATAAGTTACGGTTTTTCTCATCTTTTGACTTGGCCGTCAACTCATTGGTTTGGCAGTAAGCCTTTCCTACCACTTTTAGCAGTGCTAAAGAGATTGATTCATTAGAGAAATGTATTTTACCTCTCACTATAAAAACATTTAAAATATAAAGGGATAGTAGGTTGGGCAGGATAAGGTCTAGATGAAGAGGGAATAAAGGCCCCACATTTTAATGGGCCTGCAACCTTTGGTTATGTTTTAACTTTATAGTTCTTTGCTTGCAATGTTTATAGACCAGGAATAGATTATTTCAGCCAGAAGGCAAGTTATTTAAGTCCAAAACGGAACAATAAATTTGTTTTTAAAGCATTTATTTGTCTTATAGATCACTATGTGGGATTTAGCCAGTGGAAAACTTCTAAGATCAATAACAGATGCTCATCCTCCAGGAACAGCAATATTGCATATTAAGGTAATAACTTTGTTTTCTTTTCCTAATAATTTTTATTATTTTGCCTCTGCATCCATTTCTAAGTAAATTCCTTTATTAATAGAATCCTTGACAGTGAATAGTCTCTTATTTGACTAGTTCAACAAGATGTTTTCCCATATGGAAGCTAGAGATGTTCTAGTATAGAAACTAGAAACACTCAGCTCAAGTTGTGTTAAGGAGTAAATTGATGTGATGCTAAACAAGCAATTGGCAGCAAAGACAGGCAGTGCTGTGCTGAAGACTCATATGGAGATTTTAAAAAGATCTTTTTACATTTTATTTACTCCACCAACATGGCCTTGCTGAGATGGTGTGCTCTGTCACATTTTGTTGGGAGTTAAGAGATTCAAGCCCTCAAGTATGAAAGAACCAAGATTTGGATTATGTTTAGAAATGATTCTGTTAGTTTATTTTCTATCAGGCCTCTAACGAGGAAAAGCATTAAGATTCTAGTTTTGGCTTTCTTCTAACAGGCCTGAAAAAAATAAACCAACTAATATAACAGACTTTATTTATAAATACAATGTGAACCTTGGTTTTTGTATGCTGTTAAGCCCAAGTGCAGAAGCATAAAAGGTAAAGGATTGTAACGAGCGTAGTCTAAAATAGATCTTTTAGATTTTAATCATGTACACATTTGGTTGCTTAACTGTGTAGAACTCTGGTCTCCATACATATGCTTTTTAATGTCTGCAAGCATCTGGAGTTTATATGTCTGCATCTAGATTGGTTACAAAAAAGTCTTTTGTGACAGAACAGCATTGAAGCATTTAGTAACAATAAAAACAACCAAGACAAAAGTAGAGAGAATTTCTTTTCTTTTTTGATATCATGGTAGTTTTATTGACTTTTTTTCAGATGGCATGTGTTGACTTCTAATATGTTATAGTTGTTTGTGATAGTTTTATCTTTTAATAGGTTATGATTTTTTTAAATAGTAAGTTTTTAATCACTCTTTGCTTTTTACCAAAGGATTTTAATTTTTGCAATTTATATATATATATATATTATAAAATTTAAAAACACATAAACACTTACCACCATCTATTAGATACCCTGTACCCTTGCTCTCATCCCTCACCTTCCTTTCCTCCTGGTAAGCTCAGTTCTTTGGCTGCTGTCCATTAGTTTATTTTAATTTTGTCTGTTAGCCTGTTTGTTTTCTTATATTGTACTTATCTGTGAAATCATCCAATATTTTAGTTTGTCACAACTTACTTTGCTTAGCATAATACTCTCAAGTTTCTTCAATTTTGCTGCAAATGGCAAAGTTTAATCTTTTTATTTTTTAAGTAATTCTGAACAATGTACCACTGTGTCTATATACTATATCTCCTTTATCCAATCATCTGGCAGTGGGCATTTATACTGTTTTCATGTCTTAGTTATTGTAAATAATACTGCAGTAAACTGTGATGCACATAACTCTCTGAGTTAATGATTTCATAATCTTTGGATAGAGGTCTAGAAATGGGATTGCTGGATAACCTGATAGTTCTTTTTTCAGTTTTTAGAGGAAGCTCCATACTGTTTTCCAAAGTGGTAGTACTAGTTTATATTACCACAGTATATGAGGGTTCCTTTTTCTCCACATCCTTGCCAACACTTGTTAGCAGTATTTTCGATATTAGCCATTCTCACGGGTGTGAGATGGTACCTTTTAGTGGGTTTGGTTTGCATTTTCCTAATAATAAGTGACGATGAGCATTTTTTTAATGTTCCTTCTGTTTGCCTTTTGTGTGTCCTCTTTGGAGATGTTTCTATTCAGATCTTTTTAAATTGAGTTGCTTGTTTTTTTGTTCTTGGGTTGTGTGGGTATTCTTTGAATACCTTGGATATTAACCGCTAATTGAATATATTGTATACAGATATCTTCTGCCATTTTTGTAGGTTGTCTTTTCATTCTGCTGTTGTTTTCTTTTGCTGTGTTTTTTAATTTGATACATCCTGCTTGTTTATTTTTTGCTTTTCCTTTTCCTTGCCATTGGGATTGAGTTCCTAAAGACATCTCTAATGCTGATATCATAGAATCACTAGTGTTTTCTTCTGTGTATTTTATGGCTTTAGGTCTTACATGCACGTGTTTAATCCATTTTGAATTTAATTTTCTGTATGAAGCTAAAGAATGAGCCACTTTCTTTTTGTTTTTTTTTGCATGTGGCTGTCAAGTTTCTCAGGACCATTTGTTGAGGGAACATGAAAGATGTTTGGATTCTGATCTTTGGAATCAGAATCTGTGTTTCATTTATTTTTGTGTTTTATACCATAGTAGCTACTCAATAATTACTTGGTTGAAGGAATAAGTAGTTATAATATTTATAAAAGGCTAATCCTTTTAAGAAAATAGCAAAATCTTTGGAGACACAAAAGGAAACAGAAGAGATAAAGGCAGAGACAGAAGAATGCAGTGGAGGTCAAAAGCATAGAAGTGGTAGCCATTATATTGTGTTGCTTGGGAATAATTATTAAGGTGGTAGGTGCAAACTGGGCATTGAAGAAAGGTAGCAACAGACACATATGAGTGAGTGCTTCTGGAGCTAAGAGCAGTAGCTATTTGTTTTTAAGCAATCTTACTCATTGCTTTCCAGACTTAACCATTTTGGCTTGCATCCTTATTACATTTTTATTTTAAAATTATATAAATGTCTGTATTAATACTTAAGTACATACACAACATGCCAAAAACAAATAAAATTATGAGTTCTGTTCTTTCTCCTACACTCCAAGGGACCATGTAAGGCACATCTCATGGGTGTTGCTTCCTATTTGGCAAGTGTTCAATGAAGCTTTTAGAGCAAGCATGTGGGACTTTTTATTGTGAATATAGTCAAGAAGAATAATCTAACAGTGGCCTCTTGTGCCTAAATCAGCCCTGACAGCATGAAGGCTTGCCATTTAGGATGGTTCACCGACCTTTAGGGTAAGGGAGACTAATGATGGTAAATGACACAATTATTCACTTTTGTAAGCTACAAATTCACGTTTATTTTCCCTCCTAGGACTATCTGTCATGGTGAACATTATTTATTACTTTGTGTTTTCCAGGGTAGGTAATAATAATGGGAGTATACATTCTGTTGAAGATTAAGGAGACAGCACATTTTCAGAAGAATATATAAAAAGTTAAATTATTTTACATATAGTGAATTAACTCTTCAATTATTCAGAAAATGTACCCAGACAAATTGATTTCCCAGTGATACCAAATATCTCCTACTGTGTGTTTGTTCTTTAAAACTAAGGAGTTGCAAATATTCTCTAAGTATTCTACCTAGTTTAATAGCAAGTTTGAAAAAGTTAATATAAAAGCCCAGATTTTATATTTTCCCTTTTCTTACTTAACACTTGACTGTTTCTTAAAGAAAATCTTTGAAAATTAATTACCTTTCTGTTTAGTTTACAGATGATCCAACTCTGGCAATTTGCAATGACAGCGGAGGATCTGTTTTTGAACTGACATTTAAGTAAGAGACTAGACGACACATGCTGACAAATGAAAAGACTCACTCTGTTTTAATAATTTGATAATGAGCATGAAGCAGCCTGGAAAGCCCTTCTGTGATTAAAAATAGGTTTGGGTTGTGTATCACAATTACTGGGGAGGATTAGAACACACAGACTCCCAGGCTTTCCCCCCCCCAGTTCTATCTCAAGTCTAAATTGGGATTCTAGATTTGCTCCATAAGGGATTTATATGAACTCTCAGCCTTGGGAACCACTCTCCTCAAGTATTTCACTAATTTTGGCTTTGGCCTCGAGTACAATTAATAAATAACCTTAATGGTAAGATATTATTTATTTTTTTATTTCCTTGGAATTGTTCTATTTATTCTTTAAGAGCAAAAACTATCTGGATACATGTAAGAACATTTATAAATATGAGTTAAAAAAATTCAGTGTGTATTATGTTTCCATAACTTCTTCAAGGATAAGGAATGTTTGTTGCTGTATTTTTCATACTTGCTAACAAGTCTGATGCCAGAATAATTGCTAAAAAAATTACTATTTATTTATTCAGCTAATGTTTATTGAGCATCTCCTGTATGTTGGCACTGTTTTAGGCACCAGAGTTAAAACTGCAACAGAAAAGCTTACTGCTTTTTCCAGAACACACCTTCCACTTAGGATGTACCAGGTAGCGCGACAGATAATAAACCAACACATAAATCAAGTACCTTCAAATAGTCACAAGTACTATACAGAAAATAATGCAGGTCAGTATGCTGGAGTACACTTGAGGATAGTCCAGGAAGTACCTGAGTGACAATCTGATCAACAAATATGAAGATCGGAGGAAGTACTCCAGGCAGAGGAATGTTTGAACACCCTGACTTTGAGGTAGTCAAAACTTGGCAGGTTGTAGCAACAGAAAGGCCATGCAGCTGGAGCTTAACTTGATGCAGATCAGCAATAGTAGGAGAGGAGTGAAGGTAGGACATTGCCATCTCACACAAGATTGGACTTTTTAAAGTGTGAAAAAGATTTGGGTTTTGTTTTATGCACAACAATAAGCAATTGAAATGTTTTTAGGAGAAACCATAGTCTGATCGCTATATCATTGTGGTGTCACATAGTAGTTGGATTGCTTGGGGCAAGAGTGTAAGTTAGGATGCTTTCGAAGTATCCAAGCTAGTGAAAATACAGCAAGTGTCTTGGATCATTGCCAAGCCAATTCTGAATGTTTTTGGTTACATTTTTAGGAGAGTTATGGGAGTGAGAACTTGTGAATCTAGATGTCTGTTCAGTGGCTCCAAGGGAGAAGTGTGCTGCATTGAGCCGCTCCATTCTAAGCCTGAGTTGAAAGATCATCCCATCACACAGTTTTCCCTCTTGGCCATGGCATCCTTAACAAAGGTAGGCGTTTTTAAAAGGTGAAACTTGTAACTTTTGGAGGATTTGAATACCACAAATTTGAAAATTACAGGGTAAATATTTAAAATATATTTTTCTTTCAAAGATACTGGTCATTGGATTGAAACCATCCTTGAAAGTATGGATGACTTTTCCCTATGGACGGGTAAGCCCCTCAGTCTTGTTAGCCAAAAGACCTTTTCAGGAAATGGGGAGAAGTAATTAAGTGGCAAATTCTGTGAGATTGTTAGACACTTAGGTAGACTAGAAGGCAGAGTTTTAGTGATCACTTTTCTTAGTTTGATGTGAACAAAGCAGCATAAACTGGTGACTATAGTTTTGTCCTAGGGATCATGAAATCTTTATTACTTAAGATTTTTCTCTCCTAAGCAGCTGCTGCTTTGATCCTGAACTACTGATAGAGAACAGCCCACTCTAATATCCAAAATATATTGCTACTATCGCAGCTTTTCTTAGCTTCTACCTCTGGTATTTTACTCTGGGGGATGATACCTTATGAGAATGTATTTTGTATACCCCCCTCATTTTCCTTGTCTTTTTTGCCCGATTATTTTTAAAGAGTTATCATCTTCCAGGATATATAAGAGAAGAGCTGTTGAGGGGGTTGAACCTGACCAGTTTGGAGAGCAGTCCCATTACTAAGGGAGAGCACTCTTCTGTTTTCTTGTTAGTACTCTGTTTATCACTGGGCCCCAGGGAAAGCAAATCTGCCCTTCCAGATGGCAAAGCTGGCTCACACTGCCATTAACATTTCTTATCATGGTGTTATGTGTTTGGATCTCTTTGTATGTTTTCATTGGTATTTTTTCCAACACGTACTTTAAACATTTTCAAACAAATATGAGAAGTTGAAAGAATTTACACTGAACAGCTGTTTACCTACCATCTGAATTCTACCATTAGCATTTTACTGTGGTTTCTTTATTATATATCTATTCATCTCTTTAGTCACACATCAAACAATATTTTTAAAATATATACTTCCAAGTTAGTTGCAGAAATCAGTACTTTCCCATAAATATTCAGTGTGTACATTATTAGTTATATTTCAATATTTGTTTAACTTTTTCCTTTGATGTAAAATTTATTTAACAATGAAATGCAGAGATCTTGAAGAGTGTACATTTGCTGAACTTTGATGAATGTATATAATTTTGTAACCTAAACCTTCATCAGGATGTAGAACATTAGCATCAACCCAGAAAGTTCCCTTATGACACTTCCCAGTCAGTCCCCGCTTTGTTAGAATTTTAATGAGAAATTGGGAGACGCTTTAGCAGGAAACACTAGTCAGGTGCTTATTATAAGCAGTTTTCTCTTCTTTCTATTAATGATTCTGGGTTTTGTTGTATTTTTTTTTTTTTCTCTTCTAACTTAGATGGATCCTTCCAGTGTCCCGTTGCTGGCCTGGCACTTTGTGGCAGTGCATAATTATGTGAATCCCATGCTTGCTTTCTGCAGAGGAGATGTTGTTCATTTTCTATTGGTAAGTTATAATGTGATGCTTAATCCGTTATAAGTTCTTCACTGTAAGATTCCTCCCCCCCCGCCCCTCTGATTTACCAGTAATAATATGTCAAAGAAACATGCTGTATAATTTTGGCAAGAGAAATTTTTTTTAAAGATTTCAATGGTTAGCATGGAAAAATCACAATTTGCTTTCAGCTTTGTGCCCTTTCATGATATGTCTCAATTTCATGTCATTTAACTAATAAGTAATAAATGATTTATATGTATGTGTAAATATGTGTATGTATTTATGTCTGTGTTACTGGTTTACCTCTCCACATTCAGAATGTATTTTATTTATTAGAGAACCATTATCATTTACTATCTACTGTGTTCTCTACACTCTGTACTCTGAGGGACTCAAAAAGCAATTGAAAGACAAGTCTAAAACATAATTTTTTTCACACTTAAAACATCATTTGAAAGGCAAATCAGTATTACCACTAGAGAGAACTGTTTAAGGATTGACCTGTGTGATAAGAATAGAAAGTTTGATTAAGTTCAGAGTATAAAGAGTTTTGTGTGGACTAGAGAGGCTGTGGAAGACTTTATGAAGATTTTATGGCAAACACTACAGCAGGAATAGCTGTACTTATTGGGGGAAAATAAGATGAACCAAAGCTATAAAGTAAGAAAGTGCCTGTGCAACCCTCTTCATTGTTTTTTCTAGCTTAGTGCACCATTGTCCACCTGTTCCTCAGCCCAAAACCTAACAGTTGCCTTCATTTACCCTTCTCCCTTCCCATCTGCTTCATCACCACAACTTGTTGACTTTGTATCCAAAATCTCCTGAAGTTACTCCCTTTTTGTCTCCCCCATTGATGGTTTCCTAGTTTCAATCAGTGACACTTGAAGCCTGGACTGTGGAAAAACTTCCTAACTAGTTTCTGACCCCAGTCTTCCTATATATGCTGTCATCTCTGCCAGGATTGCTCTGTGCCGTCTTCCACTTTATCCTAGCTCGTGGCTAATGTTGTCTTCCTTGACCTCCTGAACTAAGTGTGTAACTAACTAGAAACTAAGAGAACGTGTAACTAGCTCAGAGACCAAGGAGAGATTATATCCTGCTAAACACCTCCGATAAGACCTTGTCCTTTGAGAAGGAGAATTATTTGTCTAACATTTTTCTCCCTCACTAGACTCAAAGCACCATAAGTTCAAAGACTAACTCTATGTTATGTTCTAGCCACTAGGACAGGTAGTTGCTTAATAGATATCTATGGTGGAAAATCAACTTGAATATGTGGAATGGATCTGAATTAGGGGATTGGACAACTATGATTGAAATCTAGCAAACTATTTTTATAAAGTGTTTAGAACACAGTCATGACCTTCATTTATATGTTATTATACTATAGATGGCAGAGTTGTGTAGTTGTGACAGATTGAGTGGATTAAAACATGTACTTTGTGGCCTTTTATAGAAAAGTTTGCTAACCTGTGGTTTAGAAACATTAAAAAAAAAATGAGCTAGATTGATAATGGAGAGCCAGCACAGGTTCTTAGGTAATTATGTGATTAAAATGATATTTTAGTAAGATCAATATAGAACTGGCAAAAAGAACATATTATATGAGTAGGAAAGCAGGTTTTGCTTATATGCTGAGGGTGTGTGGTGTTTGCATGAGAGGATTGTTGCTGCAATGAGAATTAGGATTATAATTTGAAGGAAGGATTAACTTTTCATCTTACTGGATCTCGGGACTGGATAACATGAATGGAATATCACATTTCTGTCTTCGCATTTTAGAAGCTTGAAATATGCAAAAGGGAGGTCCTGTGAGGAGCAACTTATTAGGAAAGGTTTGAATATGTTAAGGTGGAGGTGAAGGTGGGACTTTCAAGTATTGTATTTGTCTCTTGGTAGATGGCAATGCAAGCCTAGAATACAAATGAGAATTCCAAGATAGAAAAGAAGTTGAGCTGTGAAATTCGAAGTCCAATACCTAACTAACCTTGGTGGAGACTCTTGTAAGAGGAAACAGGGAAGGGTTCCTATAACAGGTGGTCCCCAGGAAAAGGAGGGATTGCCTTCCCTGTCCAGAAGGAGGGTGGAGCTGAGGAGAGAGGAGAAGAATCTGGACAGGAGACTGAGGAGGAAGGAAGCAGGATGGAGAGCCAGAAGGAGACCTGAGAGGGCGGCATGGAGCAGAGAGCATGTGAAGAAACTGCACTTACTTCTTCTTGGTCCTGAACTGACTGAATGGTTGAAACAGTTGTGGGCGAGAAACCCGTGGGGAGGTTGACTGTGGCAGCATTTGTCTTGGTTTTGCCCTTTTCCTCTCAAACTTGCCTGGTCATTTCCGACCCTTTTCTATGGGTCCCGGCCAGACGGTGCTTTAGACTTGTGATGGGCTTTCAGGCCTTGCTTTGGGCCAATCCCTTTTGGGTGGACTTTTACTCATGAGGGGATGGGTGATTTTGGGTGTTTGATTTAAAAGCCGTATTCTTTATGTTTGCTGTATTGCACACTGCTTATGTTAAAAGTCTTATATGTTTTGTCTTGATGCGGCGGATGGCAGAACCTATTTTAGATCAGGCAGGTTTGGGGTAAGTATCAATGGAAGGAAGGTGGAAATTACATTCTAGAGCTCAACAGTCAGTGTGTGGTTGCAAGAGAAAAAAGAATAGTTAAAGATAAGAAAATTAAGGGAAGGTCTTTTGCTTTTGTTTTTTTATTTGAAGATAGAGAAATCAGAAACATATTTGATAGCAAAAGTAAAAGGACCTTTAAAAAGTAGTAATTCAAGAGACTGGCATGGGGAAGTAATACTAAACAGTGATGGATGGTGAGGGATGGTTTGAGTTTATATAGGCAAAATGATTTACTTCAGCCAAGAGTGCCGAGCAATCTTGAACAGATAATGATGGCATTACCTGTTTTGTTTACAGAACATTTTCAACATAGCAAGGTAAGGACCAATTTGGTGCTTTCATTTTTCAAATGAGGAAAGAGGAGTAAGTGACTTGTCTTTGATTATACATTTATGATAATGAAACTTAACTCTTAAACACACGGCTCTAGTTCCTTAAGTAGCCTTTCTACATGGAAGGTGATTTAGTGAAGATGAGAGTACGTGAGGAGGACCACATTATGTACTCTTAGTTGTTCAAGTGTCCAGGGAAGTCAGCGCTGCAAGTAAAAGCAGAGTAACTGGAACTGTGGGGAAAAGGTAGATACCTAGTACACTACTAACAGGGAGTGCATGTCTTGAATTTCATGCCAGTCCTTGCATCTTGTGCACTCTATCACCTTTGAACACGGTGGCAAGAACAAATTATAAGGATGTTGAAAGATTATAGAATAGATATTGTGTGTGTGTGTGTGTGTGTGTGTGTGTGTTTATATATCTGTAAAAAGTTGGCACTTGTTCTTTTGAAAGATTTTGGGCTGTCACATTTCAGAAAAGTCTAGTTCTATCATTTTAGCAACTTTTTAAAAAAATGAACTTCTGCTTGACTTTAGCACACAGTGTCATCAATCCCATATTATGCTTTAACCCCTAGCCAAACACAATCACTTATAAAGTTAGGTGATGAAATTAGGTTATCCTGAATTATGACAAAGTGAATATTACTTGAGTATTTACCAGACCCCTGGCCAGATATGCTTTGGGGTTTGGTATATGGCATGGCATAACTGGTTTTTTTATTACTTACTATATAATGTTCCTTTAATTATCAATAATTTTTACTTATGCATACTATGAATGGAAATCATTTGATTAAAAAATGTCCCCCAAACATTTGCTATTTTCGTTTCATCATCAGGTTAAGAGAGATGAATCTGGAGCAATACATGTTACCAAACAAAAGCATCTTCACCTGTACTATGACCTCATCAACTTTACAGTGAGTACTATTCAAATTAAATATCCCAATTTTATGTCATTGTTTTGAATCCAGGGTATATTAAAGCTGCCATGAGTTCTGCAATGAATCATGACCATTATGATTATATAAGATATGGACAAAGGAGAAATCCTTCTTAATATTGATTAAAATTTTGAGTTTGGTATGATTCCCTGTTCTTGTTATTGTCTTTTCAACATATGTCCTGCTCAACCCTGGCTGGATCAGAAAAAGTTTTCCTTACTAAGCCTAATTTGGGGAGTTCTGAATAATATAGGAGAATTTCTTCAGGGATGTTGCCCAACTTCATTTGTAAACACATTTTTATACTCCTGAGCTTATCCTAAATAGTTTAGGAATTCATGTAACCTATATTTTTCTTGTGGGTGAAAACTTTGTAATTTTCTCTTTATCATGCATTCAGTCCTGAGTGCCTTTTTGAAAGAGTATGTTATATTAAAACAGATTATTTCTCTTTATATTAACTTTTTTTTAAATCAAATTGTGAGTTCACTCTGAGTAGTGTAATTATAATACACTGCTGGGTTTCTGTCAGTAGTGCTCTTAGCATATCAGTATCTGGTATTCAGTGAAGCACCCTCAATATACTTGAATATAGACAATCCTAAATTGTAAGACAGTGCCTTAATTTTTCAGAAAAAAGAAGTGTGTCACCCCATATGATAATACATAGGCTTTTAGACTATTGATGAAATAGATATTTTTTTTATAATATGGTTATTAATTGCACATTTCCTCTGTCTCACATATAGAATGCTGTAGAATCAACACCTTTTTCTATGTACATTTTATGAAATAACTTTTAAAACTCTTCCTTTGCATAGAGAACATCATTGCCTTCATCGTCACTTGATCCTCTTGTTGAATCATTTAACACAGTTTTATAAACTTCATTGTCATCATGTTTAGTTTAAGATGTTTGAGGTAGATTAGGACACTTTTAAAATCTAAATAGGACTCTGTACCTGGAAAGATTTTTCTCAAGCATAGTAGTCATTTTCTTTACAGTAGGATAGTCGTCATTTTCATTTGTCCTGTGGTTTATCTATGATGTGACCATTAGCTGCATTGCTTTATAAATTATCTTTAAAAGACTTGTTTATAGCAATGTCAGCACTTGCAATTATGAGGCTATAATCTCAGAAAAATTGCTAAATTTGCTAATGGGTTGTCTTAATTTTCACTCCTATTTTATCTAGATGATCTTTGAGAGCATCTAAAACTAGCACTGACTAGTTTGTATAAGGCAAAATAATGTATCTTTCCTATTGATACTTTGTTTTTTAAAGTAAAGTGGTGAAAGGAGCTCTTTGTAAAATATTTGAGGATCAAATTCTCTATTTTCTGAGAGATAATTTGATTTTCGGAAACAAAACAAAACCTTTCTCTTTTGTCGTCATTATATAGAATGAGAGTTTATCTTCAGCATATTTAAAATAAAATTGTTATCTTTTCAACTTGGTTGTCTTTACTGTGGAATCATGCAGGTAATTTCTGATTACATGTGCTAGGTCCTAGAAATAAGCCAACATGAATACTGGAGAGATAATGTGCATAGGAGAAGTGCTTTTTTACTGGCTCATTTAAAATTCTAATTCTGCAGACTTGAAGACTAGCAACTTCTCAGAGAGGGATTGGGATTAAAATATTTGAAAATTAGATGTCCTACACATAAACCAAGATTTTTGTCAAAATGGCATCATCCAAAAGCTTTTATACAGTATGTTTTAACTTACATTGATCCTTGTTAAAGAAATTTAAAAAATTAGAAAGAGCAAAAACCTTTCCCACGATTTGTAGAGATGTTTTCAAGGGATATATATTTTAAATACCTTCTTATATGTATTGCTTATATGCTGACACAGATCCACTGACCATCGGTTTCAATGTTTAATTTGTCCTTTTGTTTCATTAATGTCATAAAAACAAGAAATACAAGATTTGTCATTTTGTTATATCACTTGTGCCAGTGTACCTCCTCAAAAGTTTTTATGGGAGTCATTATATGTTATAGTATATCTCTAAAAGCTCTTAACTAGTTTCTTTCACACCATGAAGGTGTCATTTTAGCACTGTCAAAATTCAGTGCCGTGTTGTATACCTACTGCTGTCTGTGCTGTCACTGAGTGATTCTCCCTGTAACTGTGTCGTCATCAGGTTATTAAATGGCGGAGTTCTTAAGGTAATTTGCCTGAGTAGCCAGGCTTTCTTCTTGCACTGAATGATGGTTTGGGATGGGCCTCACTTTGGTTTTGTTGTGTGTTTGAATTACAGTGGATAAACTCACGGACAGTTGTGCTCTTGGACAGTGTAGAGAAGTTGCATGTGATTGATCGGCAAACTCAAGAGGAATTGGAAACAGTGGAGATCTCAGAAGTTCAGTTGGTTTATAATAGCAGCCATTTCAAATCACTAGCCACCGGAGGAAATGTTAGCCAGGCACTGGTAAGGGTTATCTGCGATCTTGGCATTGCTTTGATGAATTGGGTGTTTTGTTGTTTTATTTTAGAAATAGGAACTATGAGGGGTCTTGAGGTGTTTCATTAAAATTCACTAGATTGAAGTAGATGGTGAAATGTTTGTAAACATTCAGGAATGTGAACCAAAACAATAAAATATTCAGACCTACATCTAATTTAATCCCAAAGAATTTTAACTTTTATACTAAAATTATGAAGTGAACCTGGAAATTTATGAGAAATTGTAAAGCAAAATATTTTAGAATGTTTAATCTGGTGACAGTAAGTCTGACAGCCTTAAAGGATAAATGACTAAAATCCAGTTTTAAAATACTTCTGTCACTTCATAAAGATCCCTTGTACCCATGTCTAGTCAACACCCCGTTCCCATTCCTAGACCCAGGCAGCTGTTTATGTGCATGTCTCTGTGCACTTTTCTGGATATTTCATATAAACATCAAGGAATATATGACCTTTCCATGTGGCATCTTTCACTTAAAACAATGATTTTGAGGTTCACCCATGTGGCAACTGTATCAATATTACTAATATCAGCAGTGAGAGAGGTGACTTCACTACTAAGTATGTAGATATTAAAAAGATAAAATGAATAACTGTGCCAATAAATTTAACGATTTTTGATGAAATGGGAAAATTCTTTGGAAGGGACAAATTACAAAAGCTGATTCAAAGTAAAAATAGAAAACCTAAGTGGCTGTACAGATGGTCCCTGACTTAAAGATGGTTCAATTTATGATTTTTTGACTTTATGATGGTACAAGAACAATATGTATTCAATAGAAGCCATACTTTGAATTTTGATCTTTTTCCAGCTAGTCCTGTATAAAATGATACTCTCTCCTGACTGGGCAACTGCAGCAAGCTGCAGCCCCCAGTCACCTATGCAATCATGAGGGTAAATAACTGATATTCTACAGTGAACAGCATTCAGTAAATTATGTGAGCTATTCAGTATTTTATTGCTGAATAGGTTTTGCATTAGATGACTTTCCCCATTTGTACACTAATATCAGTGTTCTGAGTATGTTCAAGGGAGGCTAAGCTATAGTGTTCAGAAGGTTAGGTTATTGAATGCATTTTTTTAAAAAGATTTATTTATTTATGTATACAGACCTGGGGTACAGGCCAGAGATGCAGGTCCGGTGAGAGGATT